TGCTCCTGGCGGGTGACCACGGTCAGCTTGAGCGAGAGCTGCTGCAGCTGCTTGTCCTGGATGTTGTTGTTGCTCTGCGAGGAGGTCGAGATGCCCGAGTCAGCAGAATGCGGGTCTTGTTGGCGCTGTTCGCGCTAGTGGCCAGCGAGAGGGTGTTGGTTAGCTCATCAATGGGCAGCAGAAGTAAAGTGGTCTGCACTGCCGCCGGTCGGGCTGTGGCCAGCACGCCCTGGACATGATCCAGCTCATCCTGATCCTATGGCTGCTCCCGAGTGCATTCACCATAACCAAAAAACGTAGGATGTCAAAGCTGCACATGGTTCCATGCCAGCAATCGATAGTCAAAGCTGCGTTTGGATGGATTCCAGCAATCGATAGTCAATGCTGCATATCGTCACTGATCGACGCTGTTGCACATGGCTGCAGGCAACCAGCTGAAAGTAAAAGCGGTCACACTTCGATGTAAAAGTAGCGAAACATTACTTGGTCACACTGCAAAAAGCTTGTGATAGTGGATATGGTCCTACCTTTTTTAAAAGTAATGATGGCCGCCTAAATAACCGTCCCGTTTTCGCCATTCTTCTTGATCAGGCTTTGCCACTGGGCAAAGAGGCCTCACGATGAGGGGCCTCCTTGGGCGTTGGATCACAGATCTGGGCCAGCGATATGACCGGACGCATCCCATTAATGCTGCCATTGCTGGCTTCATTGGTTATGTAGGCGGCTGCATTCAGGCTGCGATTGCCAGCGGGCTTGTGCACGATCTCCGGTTCGTTGCTGTTGATATAAGAATGAAAATTCAATGAGAATCGAACTCCTTCAAGTAGGTTATCTAACACTTGCCCATTTCTATCCAACTCCTGGGTGGACTGGGCATTGCGCAGTTTTCCGGGGCCATTGCAGTGCTCCACCTCAGAGTCCTAATCGTCAACCTCTTCCGCATCGGCCTAGTCTGTGCTGAGCTGTCTGGAAACGAAATAACGTAAGATGATAAGAGGGATTCTTGAAAGCCTAGACGTGTACTCACAGCTTTTCCAGCGAAACCTTCAGTGTGTTCTGCCTGTTAATCTTGCGCAAGCGCTCCCGGGCTTGAGGTCCTCCAGCTCCTGCTGGATCTTCTGCTCGACGCAACGGGCCGCCCTCTGGGTTCCGCTCGATGGCTGCCGGTAATAGGGTGACCGTGGTGATGTCCGTTGGCGAGTTTCCGTGCTCCAGATTGCTCCCAGAGCTGGTGATGTTGCCCAATGGCGAGACGTGCGGCAGGGGACTATTGGGTGTCACCAGCTTGCCAGGGGAGGCCATAAACCGCTGCATCACGCCCTTGATAGGGCAGGCCGGTCAGCTGCGGCACGGAAATGGTCCTGGTGATGAGCCTCTGCTGCGGCGGCTCCGGTGTCACGTTGTAGCAGTTGGTCCAATGTAATGCTGCTCCTGGCGGGTGACCACGGTCAGCTTGAGCGAGAGCTGCTGCAGCTACTTGTCCTGGATGTTGTTGTTGCTCTGCGAGGAGGTCGAGATGCCCGAGTCAGCAGAATGCGGGTCTTGTTGGCGCTGTTCGCGCTAGTGGCCAGCGAGAGGGTGTTGGTTAGCTCATCAATGGGCAGCAGAAGTAAAGTGGTCTGCACTGCCGCCGGTCGGGCTGTGGCCAGCACGCCCTGGACATGATCCAGCTCATCCTGATCCTATGGCTGCTCCTGAGTGCATTCACCATAACCAAAAAACGTAGGATGTCAAAGCTGCACATGGTTCCATGCCAGCAATCGATAGTCAAAGCTGCGTTTGGATGGATTCCAGCAATCGATAGTCAATGCTACATATCGTCACTGATCGACGCTGTTGCACATTTTCGATGTAAAAATAGCGAAACATTACTTGGTCACACTGCAAAAAGCTTGTGATAGTGGATATGGTCCTACCTTTTTTAAAAGTAATGATGGCCGCCTAAATAACCGTCCCGTTTTCGCCATTCTTCTTGATCAGGCTTTGCCACTGGGCAAAGAGGCCTCACGATGAGGGGCCTCCTTGGGCGTCGGATCACAGATCTGGGCCAGCGATATGGCCGGACGCATCCCATTAATGCTGCCATTGCTGGCTCCATTGGATATGTAGGCGGATGCATTCGGGCTGCGATTGCCAGCGGGCTTGTGCACGATCTCCGGTTCGTTGCTGTCGATATAAGAATGAAAATTCAATGAGAAACGAACTCCTTTAAGTAGGTTATCTAACACTTGCCCATTTCTATCCAACTCCTGGGTGGACTGGGCATTGCGCAGTTTTCCGGGGCCATTGCAGTGCTCCACCTCAGAGTCCTAATCGTCAACCTCTTCCGCATCGGCCTAGTCTGTGCTGAGCTGTCTGGAAACGAAAAAAACGTAAGATGATAAGAGGGATTCTTGAAAGCCTTGACGTGTACTCACAGCTTGTCCAGCGAAGCCTTCAGTGTATTCTACCTGTTAATCTAGCGCAGGCGCTTCAGCTCCCTCCCGCTCGACTTGAGGTCCTGCAGCTCCTGATGGATCTTCTGCTCGACGCAACAGGCCGCCCTCTGGGTTCCGCTCGATGGCTGCCGGTAATAGGGTGACCGTGGTAATGTCCGTTGGTGAGTTTCCGTGCTCCAGATTGCTCCCAGAGTTGCTTATGTTGCCCAATGGCGAGACGGGTGGCAGGGGAATATTGGGTGTCACCAGCTAGCAATGGGAGGCCATAAGCCGCTGCATCACGCCCCTGGTAGAGGCACCACCGAAGGCCAGAAGGCACCACTGACGCTTTTGGGGCAGGTCGCTTAGCTGCGGAGTGGTAATGGTCCTGGTAATGAGCTCCTGCTGCGGCGGCTTGGGTGTCATGTTGAGGCAGTTGGGTCCAATGTAACCCTGCTCCTGGCGGGTGACCACAGTCAGCTAGAGCAGCTGTTGCTGCTGCTATTTGGACTGGAGGTTGTTGTTCTTCTGCGAGGAGGCCGCGATGCCAGAGTCATCAGAATGCGGGCCATCGAGGTTCTTCTCCTTGGCGCTGTTCACGCCAGGGGCCAGCGAGGGTGTGTTGAATAGCTCATCAATGGGCAGCAGGAGCTAAGTGGTCTGCACTGCCGCCTGCCGGGATGTGACCAGCATGTGGTCTTGATCCAGCTCATCCTGATCCTGTGGCTGCTGCTGAGTGCATTCACTGTAACCCAAAGCTGCATATGGTTGCATCGGTAGTCAATGCTTCACATGACTCCGTGGCAGTTGATCGTCGACCTTAATTATGAACTTAATGAATTCGGAGGCATTGCCACGTGCTCCGCGGTTGATTTAGTTGCCTGTGGTATTTAAGAATGCACTTAAATAGTGAAAATAAATGAAAGAGTGAATGAATAGATTACCCAAAGCCAGAACCAGCTCAAGGAACTTGCGCAGACGTCGGGAACTGGCCACTTCGCGGTACGCCTGCATCACACTGGTGTTGCTTGTCTGGCTTGGCGACAGTTGCTCGCATCGGTGGCCTATGAAAATAGATCTTTTATTGGAAGATCTTTTATTGGAATCTCTTCTAGACCCTCACCAATACCCCATTCTTTTGGTAAGGAGAAAAGAGCTTGTCTATCGACTCTAACTCCATGTTGTTATACAGCTTGCTCTCGTCAAGCTCACTCCAGACAGCGCCCTGGAGCTTGGCATCCGGCAGTTTGGACCAGTTGAAGCACATCAGGAATTCGTGGGCTGCAGCACGTTCTACTTTTGCAGCTCCACCTTGGGTGGCACAGAAGCTGCAGGCAATGGATCGGAATTAATATAAGTGAGTCGCCTTGGCTTGGCTTAACTCTGAACTCACCCATTGCTGGCGCCATGCACGGTGGCGGAGGCGGTGCACCCGGCCAGGGCGCCGTCGACGGCGGCGGTATGGCCGAGGGCGGCGGCGGTGGAAACAGCATCATTGCAGCCGGTCAGACAAGCCACCTTCTGGTCATCGGGTATGCTGCCCCCTGTAATAAGACACTGGAGACGGGCCAGACCCCTGCTGCTTACTTAGCGAGCGATGCTACAGATCTGCAAAAGTATTGTGAAAAATAACTGTCACTTTCGATAATAGTATTGAAAAATTGGAGCTGGTCACACTTCAAAAATTAGGGAAAAATTACAATCACTGTTCGATATTAAAGTAATGAACATTAGCTGGTCCCACTACAAAAAAGTTGTGGAAAATAATATGGTCACACCTCCATGCTCCAAATGACTCCATGTCAGCTGATCGTCGCTGCTACACATGGCTCCATGTCAGCTGATCAAAGCTCTGTACAGCTGCATGTCAGAAGCCAATAGTCAAAGCTGCACATGGTTGCATTTCAGCAGTTAATCGAAAGCTCTTGCACTAAGAGCTTGCTGCAGTTTCTGTTCTTCTGGTACTCCAGATCCAGAAATGGACAATTTTGTAGTGGAAACGACCAAAGTGAATGCTCGTTTTCGCCGACAACTACAACAACAACAATAAACAACTCTTTTACAACAACTTTGAACTTACAACAACAAAAGAAATAAATATATATTAATTTAACTGCCAAATTTGAATAAACTATTAGTAACCGCCATATAGGAATGACTAACTAATTACATTTATTCATTGCCTAATTAACAAACCAAGCCAGTTTTTTTATCATTCACAATATCGTTTATTATAATTTTTTAATTAGTTAGTTAATAGAAGCCTTATTTTCGTCATGCGACCTATGATGCGCGATTGAAGCGGGTCTTCATGTCCTAAAACTTGTCCTCCAGCTCCGCAAAGTGGAACAAGCCCGAAGCGTAGAACTCCCGCATGACGGGCAGAAAGCAATCGCCCAGCTGGGCCCGGGCCAGAGATTCGTTGGAACTCAATTTCCCGTGCCACATCCGCCAGGCTGGTGCGCAGCATCTGGATATCCTTGTCCATCTCGCCCAGCTACACCTTGGAAGCCTCACGGATATGCCGTATGTCATCCTCTAGCTTCAGTGGATCCTTGAATTAACACCCGATTGCCTGGACGAGATATTGCAAGGTCACCACCCTACATTGGCGGCACTAGACTTGGTGTCGGCCAGGCGATTAAGTGAGGGCAGTCGGTATTCGGAGCCGTTGCCACGTGCTCCGCGGTTGATTTAGTGTGGTATTTAAGAATGCACTTAAATAGTGTAAATAAATGAAAGAGTGAATGAATAGATTACCCAAAGCCAGAACCAGCTCAAGGAACTTGCGCAGACGTCGGGAACTGGCCACTTCGCGGTACGCCTGCTTCACACTGGTGATGCTTGGCTGGCTTGCCGCCAGTTGCTCGCAAATCCTCATAGGAGCCATAGGTGGTCTGTGAAAAGAGAGAAGAGCATTAAATAAGGGAAGATTTATCAGTGGAATCTCTTCTAGACACTCATCGATACCCCATTTTGGTAAGGCGAAAAGAGCTTGTCTATCGACTCTACTTCCATGTTGTTATACAGCTTGCTCTCGTCAAGCTCACTCCAGACGGCGCCCTGTAGCTTGGCATCCTGTAGTTTGGACCAGTTGAAGCTCATCAAGGGATTTGTGGGCTGCAACCCGTTCTTCTTTGACACGTTCTCCTTGACTTGACTTAACTTTGTACTCACCCATTGCTGGCGCCATGCACGGTGGCATAGCAGGTGCACCCGCACCGGTGGTGGTGGCGGTGGCGACGGTATAGCTTTGAGCCTGGCCGAGGGCGGCGGTGTCGACACAGCTCTATTGCAGCCACTCAGACCGGCCACCTTCTGGTCATCGGGTAAGCTGCCCTCGGTGAAGCTCGAGACGGGCCTGCTCCTGCCGCTTACTAAGCAAGCGATGCTAGTAGCACCATGCTACAGATCTACAAAAAATTACTGCCGCTTTTCGATTATATTAGTGAATAATAAGCTGGTCACACTACAAAAGAGTTGTAAATCGATCAATTTAGATGACAATAAATTCCCTCCATTAAGATTGCATACTTGGCATAATATTAAATTTGCTTGCTGCTGCCTCTGTTCGTCTGGCACTTCAGGTCGACCAAATCTTGGACTTGTTTTTGCCTACAACAACAATTTACAGATTACAAGAAGTAAAGATAATAATTATATTAACTACTAAATTTGAATTTAAAGTTAAATAGGCTTTCAGTACTCACCATATGAGTAAACCGCCCAATTTGAATTTGAATTTAAATAGACTATCAAAATAAATAAGTTTTATTTAGAAGAAAGTACGAATTTCAAACATATTCAAATGTTGATTTTTAGCAGGCGCTGAGAATCACTTTTCTTCAGGCAGACAGGAGAAGTAACTGCCCGGTCCAGTCGAGCTACTCAATCAGCCCAGAGCAGGTTCAGTTAGTTTAACAGTCACAAAATTTGAGCATAGGAGACGTCCCAGTTTGGAGACAGTTTAACAGTTAGCATAGGAAAATGGCCAATAGCATCGATAAGGCGATGTCCATCTTCGATGCAGCAGCAGAAGCAGAAGGAGAACTCACTCCAAGGCCGTCACAGCCACAGCCGGCAGCTTTAGGCCCACAGTCTCGCAAGCTGAAACTAATCGGATGCTGCCCTATGACCGACAAGCAGATGGAAGAGCACTACAAGCTCCATCACATCTCGGACGATGAGCTGGCCACCGTGGGCATCCAGCGCAGTTCGCTGATCGACGATTATCGTCTCATGCACGAGATCTCGCAGAAGCGCCAGCTGAAACTGAAGCAGGAGAAGAAACCGAATATCAATGATCCGGCAGAGGACCGTGAGCAGCGAATCAAGGAGCTGCAGCTCCGTCTGGGAATACGCCCGCACAAGGCGTACAAGTTTCAGCTGCTTAACCAATTGGTAAGGGTGATGGACACCGAGCCAGACCCGAAGATCATATTTCCGGAGACACAGTTTAATTTCTTTTCCATCTACTGCGAAAACGATGAGGTTCGCTTACTTTCGCCCAAGGAGCGCGAGCGCCGCCGGTTCGATGCCTTCTACGATCATCTGGACAACATGTTCGTCAATGGCGATCGCAACAAGGCCATCGATCTGGTGGTGGACGCCTTCGTCCGTTTGAAGAAGCGACGCATGCAGGTTAGCCAGGTGCCAATACCCCGTGGCTATATGTCGCCGCGCAGCTTTGATCTCATTCCTCGGTACTAAAATGGGATTTAATGGAGCGCATACCTGGGATGAAGACGCCTCCAACTCCTCCTCGTCAAAATTTTGACTGATGGTTGTTTGTTTTTTTTTGTTAATTTTATTTCGATTCTCCACAGAAATACACTTCGATCCTCTTCAGTATATTATATTTTAAACAAATTTTAAATTAAATTTCGATCTCCCATAGAAATAAGTTTTCTTTGCTGCTGCCTGCTGTATAGTCGTAATTGGTAATCGGTAATCGGACCTTCTTCGTTCTAACTCGTCCTTCGCTTCTTTTCCATTTCGCATATACAAATATTGGTATGTATAAGTTATGTATAGGGGGAAGGATGTGGAGGATGACAGGTTGGAGGTAATTCAAGGAGGATTCTAGGATTTAGTAGTAGGCTCCATCGTTCAGTAGTAGTAGTAGTAGTCGAGTACATATATTTATGTATGTGTATATAGATGTATGTATACATTTATATAAATTAAGGCTGGCATTCACACGCTTATAAAGACCTCGATCCATTCACACAAACAAACACGCTTAAACAGGTGTCCCATAGAATTCCAATTCTCAGCTTTAGCTATTCCATAGACTTATGATGTATATATATCTATGATTATAGTTTCCTTTTTGCGCTCTCTTAAACCACTTTCCACTCCACGATTATTATTGTATTCCAAACTCAACAAGTGCACTCAAGACTCCGGGAAGTAAGTTTATGAACTGTACGAAAGTCGATAATCGTTTGATAATCCGATTGTTTCTATAACCCATTAACGCAACATCCGATAAATTGAACAATACGCTAGCTACGCAAAATAAAAGGCGGAACTAAAACAATTCAGTTTTGGTCTGTTAGCCAAACTCCAAGCTCGAGGCGAATATTATCCAACTATACTCTATATATTTATGTATGTATTAGCGCGGTCAATAAATGAAATAATCACTTAATGCCAACTGATTCCTGATACTTTTCTCTCTGGATTCTCCTTTTGTAATTTTATAAATTTTTTTTTTTGCTTTTTTTGTTTTTAAGTCACATATTTTACTATTTATATACACATACACGCACACACAACTACAATACATATATTTTACATAAATACATACACATAAGAAACGTATTTTTTTGTGTTTTGTTGTTGTTTTTTAAGTAATTTATAATATTTTAGAGTTACGATTACGAATTACTGGCCTAACTTTAATTTATATTTTATATCATTTAATTTTTTAATTTCAATTCAACTTTTTCGCTTCCAAGTTTTGGACTTGGTACATATTGTTGCTTGTTTCATGCTAGTTCTTAACTTGTCTCTAAAAATTGTTGCAGTGTACATTGGCTTAGTTTGACTTAGTGACTTGTATGTATATATATATATATATCCCCTCGTGCCTCCTTCATATCAATCATATTTCTTGAATTTCTCTGGCTTTATTTTGATTTTGTTCCGCTTCCTTTCTCGAGGGACCGTTCCTTTGACATGGTTTAGAGGAGCGGGACAACACAACAGCAAAAGGAGGAAGAAGGAGGGACATGGCTGTGGGCTTACTTAATGATTTATTTACTATTCTGTTGTTTGTTGTCCCTATTCATAACTTTATATGCGTTTATTCTCAAAATGTACAGCACATTGTGTTTTTTTGTTTGTTTGTTTTATTATCATTAGCTCTGTATTTATAGGACGCTATCCCTATCTCGCTCTTTTCTAAATAATTTCCTTTTCTTTTTCGATTTTGTATTATTCTTTCAACTTTCATCTGGTCCTCGTCCTTCTTTAAACGATTAACGTCTCTTGCATTATCAAAAAAAAGTTACGTTTAGAAATACGCGTATGTATATATGCATATATATGTAGTATATATATTCTAGATATAGCAATTTACTTGCGCTTTCTATATGCTAAGAGTTCACTTAACAATTATTTTGTTTTGCATCTCTCTGACTTGTAATTCATTTGATTTCCCTTCCTCTATTTGTCTGTTCTTAAGCCTTGAAGGAGAGAGGCCCTGCTAAACGGCGGCATTTTCGTAAGTGCATTTAAATAGTTATTTCTCTTTTGTTTTTTTTTTTTCAGTTTCCTTGTCTTGTCTGCTGTCTGCTTTGCTTACATTCCTCGTGAGGCTTGATTATGGCTAGCCGTAGGCTACATAGTTGACTTTACTTTTCTATTCTTAATTACTTATCATGCACACGCTCACACCACACAAACACACTCTCATGCACGCGCACAACAAATATATTAATATATATTTATGTTGGGCTCTGCTTCTCCAATATTTTCCCTGGTCGTATCTACAGTCATTGTCAGCTAATTGGAAAAATCTACATAATGATTACATTTGTATGGAGAAAAGGATAAATATAAGATTTTATAGATCAGTAATATACCTAATATAAAAATTCAATCATAAAAATTATAGGGATTTACAAAATATCCTCCCATTTAATTGTATTTTGTACAGAGGGGGAAATTTAAAGAAAATAAAAAACTTGCTTTCAGAGGGAAGATGTGGAATTAATAGAAGCCTTAGTTACAAGACCCATTTAATGTTATTAAGGACACAACAAAAGGAGATTTTAATTATACACATAATCTGATGACTTTCAAAACTTTATATTGCAGCCATTTAAATTAAATATCCGCCAACATGCGTTTGACTTCTTGTTTATCTTTACAAAGTTTGTTTACAAACAATGCAAGCAATACAAGTGTAGGTGATTATTTTTATTTAATGGCAAGTTATTTATCAAATCCTATGAGGCATATTACTGGTACACCAAATTTATCTTTTTATATTTTTAATCGATACAAATGCATCCATCATAAACATCTCTGTAAGTAACTGGCAAAAACTGCATGTACACTAGATGCGACGCGAACCCTGGACACTGGTTCTTCTTAAGAACTAGCATTAGTTGTAGTTACTATTTTTTTTTTTGTTAAAAACAAATACTAATTAAATAAAAATAAAAAAAAAAACACTTCGCTTTATAGCTGAATAATTAATGATTAAAGTAGAGCGTAATCGTAATAGTAAGGTTGCCCGAAGAAGGTAAAGGTTATAAATAAACAACAAAAGCGGATACAAATGCATCTCATCACACTCACGCGCGCACTCATCCGACTTGATCGCGAAAAAGAACGGTTTGCTGATGCTATTACTTGCTTAAAATAAATATTCTTATGCTCTGTGTTCATACCTGCCTCGTCGTTACTCCATTGTTTCTCCTGCTTTTTTTATACACAGCTCTATGACCTGATCTGACCTCTTATGCTCCTTCACACCTCCTCCTGGACATGAGCTTCTCTAGCGCGGATCCCTCAATTAAACGATAGTTCGTTAGATTACATTAATTAGCATAAAAGCGTATTGTTATAGCAGTTATTTATAATGTAGGCATGGTATCGGTATCTGTATCTGATGTATAAAAGTATATCAACTCGGACATTTGTGTATGCAATTTCTCTGTGCCGCCCTCCTGTGATCCTGTCGGAACTTGCCTGGATGCGGTGCTGTTGCTCTTGATGTGGTTGCTGATGTTGCTATTTCTGATTACATTTTTTGCTGGCTTCCCTTTTGGCTTCCTCCAAGGGCCTAGGTTTCCTGCTCCTGCTCGTTATAGTAGGTAACATACTTGCTATTGACAATGGCATTCCATGCTGCGGGGTGGTGGATAACGAAATGGGTTAAAAATACACACAAAAAATCCATAAATATAGATACGATAATAGATTCAAATCATATATATATATGTATATATATATATATATTTAATCGATTTCCCCAAAGTACTCACTGTTGGCTATATAGTCGACAATCAATTCCGTGTTGGACATAACCCCTGGACGCGAGGACGGCTGCGATGGCAGCACAGTCACCTCCGGGGCGGCGCCATCCGCCTTGAGGTCTGCCATAAAGCTCAACTCCTGCAGGCTCTCGTCATCGGCATCGTCATCGTCGGCGTTATTGTAGGCCATAAACACGGGCAGCGGCACCTTGGCACCTACATTGGTGGTATGATGATGGTGCGCCGCCTTGGTCCTGGTCTCGTGGCCAGCATCAAGGGAGTTGCTGCGGCTGCAGCTGGTGCTCCGGGCGGCGGCTGCAGCCCGGGCAGCGGCTATAATGGCCGCCTCAATATCGTTGCATGTCTCCAGCTGCGTCATGGCAATGGTGTTATTCGGCAGTGCCTCCTCGCCACTGCTGCTGCTGGCCTTGCTCAGGAAATTGTTGACGTGCTCCTTCACGGACGTATTAGCAGCGGCATAGATTCCGCTATCGCCCGACTGATTCGCCACGCCTCCGAGGATTCCCGAAATGGATGCCAAGCAGGCGGCACCATTTCCATTGCCGCCATTGCCGCCGGACGAGGATGATATTGAGACGGAGGACGATGAGTTGGAGGTGCTGGCCGAGGCTGATGATGAGGCCGAGGGTGTGGACGAATTAATGAGACTGGCGGCGCTCGATGAGGTGGCGGTGGCTGCCGCACTGGGCGACGACTGTGCCGCCTCTGCGGAGATAGAAAGCATATCGAGGCTGGCGGAGCTGTTGACCGCATCTGAAGCGGTTCCCGAATCGTTTAGCTGCTGATCGCTGCTGGCGCTGACATCCTGCTCCTGCTGACTCAGCTTCTCCTCCGACTCTTGCTGATCCAGATCGTGGTCCATGTGCTCCGTATCTCCCTCCAGTTCCGTTTCCGTTTGCTGCTCCTTGGTCTTTGCGGCCGATCTTCCTCGCTTTGGCTGGGCAACACCCACCTCCTGCTGCTCCTCCTCCTCCTCGTTGTCATCGAAGAGCTTTAACTCGTCTTCGTTAAAGTCGCCAAAGATAAACTCGTTGTTGCTCCTGCTGGCATTTCCATCATCGTTAAGTATGATCACCGCACGTCTGCCAGCAGTGGTTTCCAGCACAGCTCCCGCTCCCTTGGCAATGCAACTGCTGCTGACCTTGTGCTGGCCGCCGATCAGCTTCTTAGCTCCCTCGGTCTGTGTGGCAGCCGTAATCTTCTGGGTGGTAGTAGTGGTGACTGCCTTGGGCGTCGGTTCCTCCTGACTAGGCTTTGCTGGTTTCTTGCTGATGGTGATGGTGTTGCTGCTGCTGTTGGGAGATGGCTCCTTTGGCTTGGTCTTGGACTTGGCTAAAGCTAAGGCTGGAGCGGTTACTGCGGACAAAGGTGTGCCACTGGCTGTTCCGACAGGAGGTGAAGCTTGAGCCGAGGACGGTGCAGGAGATACAGCCGATGAGGAGGATGAGCCCGAAAATGCCGTTGCGACGGTAGCTGCAGCCACATTGGCCGCGACAATGGCTGAGGTAGTTGTTCCAGCTACTGCTGCTCCAACTGCTGTCGGCGGGGAGGTGGAGACGGAAGTGGCCGCCTTGTCCGCCAGCTGTTGTTTGGCCGCTGCAGCAAAGTTGTACAGCTGCGTGGCCGAATTCGAAGAGGAGGTGGCGTACAGAGACACGTTGTTGGTACTATGCCGCTTGACCGTCTTCTCCAGCGCCGGATACTGCTGGTCCAGGTTGCTGCTATTGCAGCTGTAACTGGCATCATGCTCCACGCTCTTCGACTTCATCAGAGCCGGCGGCGAGGAGGAGGAGGATGTTGTGGACGTTGTGGAAGATGAGCTGATGACGGAAGCGGTTGTCGAGCTGCTTGCACTGTTCGTGCTGCTCGTGGTTGTGGCTATGCCTTGGCCCGGGCCTGCACCTGTGCCGCCGGCCGGAAGTGTAGGCGTGGCGGTCAGGTTGCTGCTGCTGCTGCTAGGCAGCACCTGCAGCAACTCCGGCGAGTTTGTGGTCTCCGCATCGCTGATGCTGTTGCTGGGTGGCGTGGCATTCAGGCTTTGCGAGTAGGACGGCGCCGTGTTCTGGTGGTTGTTGCCTGTGGTTACCACCACTGCTTGTTGTTGGGCGGAGGCACCGCCACCTGGCAGCTCAGGGAAATCGGGTCGCGACTTGGACTTACCACCCTTGAAATGGTGCTGCATCTGCTTGTCGCCCAATGCCGATCCGAAGCCCAGGTCCAGCTCCGTGTCGCTGGCATTTGCATTGTTCATTGCCTCCTGTTTGTTCCTGGCTATATCCGCATAGGAAATGGGTGCTGGGGAGCTGTAGTTGTTGTTGCTGCTGCTGTTCTGCTTGGACTGACGCTGACTGGCGGCCTGCGCCGCGCGCTGCTTGTTGTTGCCACCTCCGCCGCCGAGGCTCTTCTTCTTGCCCGTCTGAATGGGCAGCGAGTGAACGGAGTCGAGATCACTAGAGTCTGACTTTTCCGATGGCGGCATCGACGACGTGGACTTGCGCCGCGAGCTATCCACCTGATTGGCCACCGCCGATCCGCTCCCATGATGATGATGGTGGTGGTGATGATGGTGGTGGTGATGGTGGTGCTGCTGCTGGGGCTGGTAGTGCTGCTCCTGGTACTGTGACTGTGCCTGTGACGCCTGCTGTTGCGGCTTGTAGGTGCCGCTAGTGCCTCCATTTCCATTGTTATTGTTGTTGTACGGTGTGTAATAGTGCATCCGCTGTGACATCATGTTGGACGAGGCCGACTTTGTGATTTGCTGCATGCGCTGCAAATTGCCGCCTGCATTTGCGGCCGCCGCCACCGCTGCATCATCCATGGTGACGGCGCGCTGCTTCTTTGGTTTCTTCTTCTTGGTCACCACATGGAACTCGGCGGTCTCGGACAGCACCGTATTGAGCGCGTCCAGCTCGGACATGCGCGCCAAGGCGGGCAGGGTCAGTGCCATCTTTTGACCAAGATTCTCCGGCTCTGACCAGGCGGCGGCCATCTCCTCCTGATGATCTCCCAGATACTGCAGCTCCTCGGTGCCCCACGAACGGCGTTCGCCTTTGCGTTGCTGCTGCTGCTGCGATCCTCCAGAACTGTTACTAATTCGCACTTGCACAGCCGCTGTCGCTGCGGCTGTCGACTGTTGCTGATCCTTGTTGCAGTTCTTATTAATGTCCGCCACTGAGGCCGACTTGTGCTTGCCACTGCCGGAAGAAGAGGAAGCCGAAGCAGAGGCAGAGGTAGAGGACGACGAGGAGGCCGAGGCCACGTGGTTTGAGCCATTTTTCTTCTGGCGCATCATCTCTGTGGTGGCCGACTGACGTTTCAGATCGTCCACCTCCATTTTGGAACAGCTGCGCAACTCCTCCAGCGAGTTACTCTTCTTCAGCTTGTTCTGCTTCTTGCGCTCCTTTTTGCGCTGACCGGCCGCATTGCTACCGCCGCCAGCATTGTTGCCGCCATCGTTTTCAATATACTTGACCAGCTGCTCGACCGGATCCTTGCCGCGATACCCGGCCACTGCCACATCCACGGTCCATGTGGTGGTGTTGCGCTCTTGCTGTGACTTTTTCTTTGCCTTCAGCTTGGTGGGCTGCTGTTGTTGCTGCTGCTGGGGCACTCCAATTCCGGATCCTATGCCCATTCCAGCTCCCGCCGATATTCCGACAGGTGCCTGCTGCAGCTGGCTGTTGATGGACGCCGACACAGCGGCCACTGCCATGGCCGTGGTAGTCGTGCCAGTGGAATGCAGCGTAGACACACTAGTCTGGCGATGGGCTGCCGTAGAAGAAGTGGTTGCGCTGCCGCCCATTGTGGTGGTAATCAAGGCTGTGAACTGGTTGCCATTGTTCCCATTACTGCTGCTGCTGCTGCTGCTGCTGGTGGCTCCGTTGCCCCCATAGCTATCGCCCAGGGCGTTACCGTTCTCGTCCAGCTGGCGCTGCAATGTAACAAGCTAAATTTTATTCGTAAACTAATGATCAAGGCAGGGAACTCACCGTCGTGGCCTTGCCACCTACAGTAGACGCCGTTGCCGCTGTGGCCGTGGCGGTAACCATACGACCGATCTTAGCCGGACGCAAATCTCCAGAAAGCGCCTCCGATCCGGCCGAGTTGCTGCCCCCGGAAAGGGCCGAGGTTGAGCCCGAAGTAGAGGCCTTACCGGCCTCCATGGCAGCTGGCGAGCCAGCACCGCCGCCGTAAACTGATGAGCAGGCCGTATAATTGTCATTTAGCGAAACATAACCGGCCTCCACCTTGCGCATCTGCTCCTCGAGACCGATATCAAATGGTCCGATAATGGCGGCAAGGTATTGGGCCTGCAGCTGCAGCTTCCTCCTGGCCTCTTCCAGGACGGAGAAGTGCAGCGGGTCGTCGATTAGGAACTCTCTGGCACCGCCACCGGTTACTTTGGCCACAGCTTGTTGCTGTTGCTGCTGTAGCTGTTGGTGTTGCTGTTGCTGCTGCTGCTGCTGATGCTGCTGTTGCTGCTGCTGCTGCTGCTGTTGCTGCTGCTGTTGCTGCTGCTGCTGTTGCTGCTGTTGCTGCTGTTGCTGCTGCTGCTGTTGCTGCTGCTGCATTTGAGGGCCACAAAGGCTGTCAAGCAAACTCTTCATCGAGGGATTGGCAGGCTGTGCATTCTGTGGCGTCTTCATTTGCTAATCATGTTCAGATGGGGAAAAAGCAGGGGAATTAGTTGTGATTTTATGACATTTCTCGAGAAACCATTAAACACTTCTCCCCATACAAATGTGTACACACATAATAGACAAAACACAACTGGGAAATAAATAAAGTAAACAATTGTGAAATTCTTGGGGTTCCTATAACTTGGCAAAAGCACTGCAATATGACATTAATTCCTCCTATTTGAATTACAATTCGATTGAAACTTAAGTCTTCAGGTACATGTTTTCATATAATTATAACGTTAAATAGCTAATTTGTTGAAAAGTTAATTAAATTTAATCTTCCAAAAGTAAGTAATATATTAATTTGATGGGAAAAGGCTTCTCCATTGCCAACGGACTCTATTAAGTATACATTTAATGGAATGTTGGCAAAGGTTGATTTTAAGGCGAATGAACAAGGTTGGAAATAAATAAATACCAAATATTTTAAATTCTAGTTTTCTTTTTCATGCATATTGAATTGCTTTAGCTAGCTTAGTTTATTTCTTTAAAAAAGTGCTTTTTATCCATCGATGCTGTCCAATAATCTGTAAAAATTAACACTCGTCTTGGACTTATTATGAACGCTACAATTTAGTAATACATAATTGAATTAGTCACTAGAGTGGGAAATTATTGATTATAAATTAGCTGGGATTAGGGACTAGGCATTAGAGAATAGGAACAACTGACTACCGTCCAGAACAGTGAGCCAACTGCCTCAATTTGATCTGTCTCCTCTTACCACCTGATCCGACTGCACTGATCCGTCCGTTACTTGGAGGGACCTGGCTATCTCCCACAGTGTGCCATCCATATGTACGTCCCACTCTCCTAACGTATCATTGCTTACCTCCAAGAGGTAGTCGTTTGGGACGCCTCTACAACGGACGCTCGTGGCAGTGCCAGTGCCGGTGCCCGTCTCATCCTCGTCCATGTCAAACTGAATGCCCGCCTCCGGATCGCGCTCGCCCAAATGGCTGGGCAGGCTGCTGCAGCTGCCAGTGCTACTGCGATGATGGTGCTTGGTGCTAGCTACCGATGAACCGGATGATCCGGACGCACCTACCGCCTCCAACAGCTGAGCCTGCTGCTTATGCTGCTTGGCATCCATTGCAGTCGGCTCAAAGTTAACGCTACTGGGCAGGCTGCCTCCTTCCCGCTGACGCCCCGAGACAGTTGGGTTCTTGATCTTCTTGGAGACGGTGGAGAAGGAGGAGGTGGCGTTTTGGTTGTGCTGCTGCTGCTGTTGGCGGCGATTGGAGCGGCCACTTAGCTGGTAATCACAGTTGAAACGTTGTGTTGCTGCCGTTGCCGCCGCCGCTGCTGCTGCTGCCGCCGCCGAGGTGGTGGCTAGCTCGCTGCGGTGGGCTGCCTCGACGAGATCCTGCAGGGATCCCCCCTGCTTGTGCCGCTGGGCGGTATCGGAAGAGCGGTGATTGCCGTGGTGGTGCCCCGCACTACTGCTGCTGCTACCTCCGCCGCCGCCGCAGAGACCGGCTGGATTGAGTGTGATGCAGGTTTTGATGGCACGATAAGAGATCTCCTCGTCGTACTCAGCCTTTTTTAGCATTTGCTGTGAGTGTGACACAGAGGTGGAGATGAACATACATATGTAAATGTTAGAAATGGCCAGACAATTCCCGAAAATATGTTTGGGGGGAAATGAAATCGGGATAATATGGGATTATCCAACCTTCACAGTATCGAGGGGGTGTTCTGCGCAAGTGTGTGTGTATGTGAACTGACACCGCTGCAAGCCTGAAAAGTGGATGGAAAAGAGGGACTGCGAAACTCACCAGAAAACGCTCGCTCTTGTTTTTCCTGTCGCCAGGATTCCGATACCAATAGGCCTCCTCGAGAAGTTTCTTCAATGATGCGTCGTCGAGATCATTAAAATCGCTATCTTCCCAAGTATCGTACTTTGTCTGCAAAACGACACAAAATACATAAATTAGTTTTATTGCAAATTTTCTGCATTGACACACACACACTCATGTACACATTTGCGCATCCACAAAACACGGAATAGAATCGAACTTAACCTCAACAATGCCGCCAATAACTGCGCAAACAGCTTACTTATAAAAAAAAAAAAAACCAACAGAAAAAAGAACACTTGCACTGCCCAAAGGCTCTTTTCCAACTGGTCGAACAATCCACGTTCGGTTAGAGGCGGAGAGTTAAATAAATAAACTATGTTGTATCACACAGAAAAAAAAGGGGGAAAAAGAATAACAAGGAGGAAAGAAGAAAAAACGGGAATAAGTGCGGTTTAAGCGGCGGCTTGTTCTGCTACTGTGTTTTGTTTAGATAAAACTGATTTGCGGTTTAATGTGCGTTTCTTGTGACACCAGATACGAAATCGGAAAAGTTGTTCGGTTGTCAAATCCAGAACTTTCAACAAAACTCATATTGTGCTCTTCTTCCTTATTACTGTTTGGCGACTGAGCACATTCCAATACCTAACGGTAAAATTCCGAAAATGAGCATTTCCGTTGAAACTGCCCAAGTGCGACCGAGATAGTTAGTGTGCTAACATCATTGCAGCACAAGCTCTATTATTGTAAGCGTATTGGTGTCTTGGATTTCAGAAAACATTAGGGTGATTCAATAAATTAGAGTAAAGGAGTTTTATAAATAAAAAAGAAAAAGTGCTACAAATGCATTTTTTGTAATAAAATTAGAAGTAGTACAAATTTATATATGTATACTTCATAAATTCAGTTAAACTTTAAATTTGTAAGCTATTTAATTTTGATTTATATATCGATAGAAAAATTATTAATCGGACAAGACTGAAATTTAAACCCAATGATAATATACCAAAAAATTCATAGTTATTAGTAAATTTGTTTAATTTAATAAGTAATAGGACAAGAGTAGTAGTGATTATATTTTTAAACTAGAAAAACATCAATGTAAAATTGATTTTTACGTGTAAAGAAAAGTATTAAGAGACTGCATTTAAACTAAGAAAAAACGGACAGACCGGATATGGCTACATTGACTCGACTATTGATAAATCTACATAATACCAAAGAAACTCTCTCTCTTAATTGTGCTGAAAAATTAAAAAAATACCCTTTTGCGAGGATACTTTGCTCCACAATGGTAATAATAGAAAATATGGGTTTTATTTGTTTTATACACTTACCTTTTTCTTCTTCTGTCGTTTGCCCACATTCTGATCGTCCTGGGTTTTGCCCTTGGCAGTGTCCCCGTACTTTGGCCGCGACAGTTCCGACCTTAAGACCTGAGAGAAGGCTGATTCTTCGGCTCCGGCCTCAACTTCCGATGCCGCATCATTGGCGGCGTGGTTAGTACTATGGCTATTACTAGGAGAGGAGGACTTCTTGGGATCCCGGCCGACAATATGATTTGTAGCTGAAGGGGCAGCTGCTGTTAAGGCTCCCTGACCCTCGTCTGCTGTCGACTTGGCTAGTTTGGTCGCCTCCTGCCTGTCGTTAGACACTGTCTCCTTCTTCTTTAGGTTCTCAATTTCCTTGTCCCTGTCCTGTTCCACGTCCGCCTCGTTCTCAGGCTTGGCCCCATGATGAGACGACATCATGGTCTTGAGCTGATCCTGTGAGAACGGTGTTGGCGTTGTCTTCGTGGCGGTGGTGGTAGTAGTACTCTCGCTCATCGTTCCAGCGGCAATCGAGACGATGGGGGTGTCCGGTATGATCGTGGGCAGCTTATTAGCTGCTCCAGATCCCAAACGCTCCGCCGATATGTCCGTTGATGACGGCGTTTGTTCATTGTTCATCTTTTTTCTGGTTTTTGTGGTATGCAACGAAGCAACAAGCTAGCAAAACAACCAAATGCCATTCGAAGTCCTCGAATCTAAGATAAAATTATATTTTGTTAATTAAGCTGATGGATAGGCTTATCTGAATTAGTTAATACTCACAAACAGTTGCCGTAGCTGTATCCGGTACTGCTGATGCTCTGAATCCTTCGCTGTTGACTAGATTTCCTAGGAAACGCAGCTGTAAAGCCGCCGTGCGGTCGCCACCGCGGCTGCAAGTGCTCTGGCGCTGTTGCTTCTGCTGTCGTCGCTAGTGGTTCTCACGCGGATGCAAAGATGCCGAAAGGCCAGGAGGCCAGCAGGCCAAGACGCCGCGAGGCCGCGGCGCAGCGAAAGGGGGGAAAGGACAAGCAGCGGAACGGCAGCGGCAACGAGACCTCCTATTGCGTATCAGTGTCTGCTCCTGCTGCACTTGACAGGCCACTTGTCGTCAGTCGTCGCTCCTTCCCTTCTCCTTCCACTTTTTTCACTCTGTCCGTGGCATTTACGTACGTCCACGTTCGATCCGAACACGAGGATTGGACTGCTTGCCTGCCGGAGCACGGAGCACGGTATTCAAATCCGAAGCGGTGTACAGGAGTCGTTGCAGGTGCGGAATACGGAAATGTGTGCGCACGGAGTAGCTGCCTACAAACAAAGCGGAGGAGGGCAAGGGTGAGACACAGTGGCACACAAACGAAACGAAACGAAACATATATTCTGCACGGCTGCCTTGCCTTGCCTTGTTGCTGTTGTTGTGGTTATGCGGATGGCGGATGGCGTATGACGAATGGCGGATGGGGGGTGGTGTCGGTAGCGTTGGTGGTATTCATAGGGATGATGGTTGTGGCGGTGACTGGAGGGACGGAAGGATGTGTGGATGCCTGTTCACTATCTGAAGCAGTCCTACTTATGCGCTGCGACTGCTTATTTCGCCAAAGAGCTTTTCTCTCCATTTCTAATCCTTTTTCTGTTTTCTTATTTTTGTTCGCTTCTTTTCCCAAGCCGCGCAGTGTTGCCAACGGTGGTGCTTGATGTGCCCCGTTTGAAGCACAGAGTTGTCTATTGCCCGCAAAGTGCTGCAGCGGTCGGAGGTACCTGGCCCTTTAGCCCCAGAAATACCTGGTAATCTTCGATCGCCACGTTAGAGCAATGGGACACAGTTTACAGGTTTATTATCTTGCCTAGGGCGCACAAGCACTCAAAGCCGACGCGGACACTCTCTTGTAGATGCACACTCAAGTTGGCAACTCTGCCGTGTTGTCAGTGGCAACACTAGTGCAAAACACGTCATTTCACTCAGTTTTTTTCTGATTCTAAACCTCTGGAACCCCCTCCCTATAAAGAGAACACTTTTTGGGACGGGTCTATGTATGCAAATGCTTAATTGATTTGTAATCGCGAGCCTGCACTTTACCGTTTGACTCAATTGTTATTTACCGATACATACGCCAGGAGGTGACAGCTGTATAACTTTCTGCGCACTCACACACACTCACGCACTCGCCTCGACACACGCACACACTCTCACTCACACACGGGCACAGGTATGCGGACTGTGTACATTTTTCTGACCTCGGTTCGACTTAAATTAACTCAGACGCACATCGATAAGCTGCATTCATTTGTGGCTGCGAAAACGCGCAATTGTGCGTTCTGCAAACATTTGTCTATTGGCGGACGCAATAAATTGTTTAATTGCACAGGCAGATGAAAAACTCCGACAGAACACTTTGGAATTGTTGTTGTGTTTCACATAGAGATGTGAAAAATATACGATATATCGATAGTTTATATCGTTACATTTTTATTGCCGAAATATATAAATATCTATCCGATTTTATGCATTTTCATATATATTTAACTATTTCTTTCTTTTGCCAGTTTCTCTCCTTCATTTTGGGGAGACGGTAGCTTTGTTTACGGTTATAGCTAAATATCGATATGCTTGCCAAAAATATCATTGTGTAACCAGCTCTAATTCAGCATAAAAAAGAGGAATGCTGAGAGGCGATAGGCGAGCGTGCGCCTGTTCACTATATCTGGTCACACTGTGCGTCATTGCTCATCGAAATTTTCAAACCGCTGATGTCAGCGGACTTTTTTTAGTATGACAGCACTGAAATTCGAAAATCAGCTGGAACTTATTGGAAAGGTTACTCGATAACACTGCTTACGGATAAATAACCCAAATCAAAACAAATTAGGGCAAACAAATGTAAATCAACCACAAATCGTAGTTCGATGGAGACGTCTTCATTAGGTGTTTAATTGGAGAAAAATGTTAAGCCTGCAAAGTTATTTATTGTGCGCTGGCACCAGTTCGCCCACCATTTGGTCCAACGCCCGCATTGTGTTAAGCTCGAATCCGTTTTCCAGTCCGTCCACCGCCTTTCCCAGGTCCTGCAGCGCCTTCTGGATCTCGGCAAACTCCTGCTTCTGTCTGCTAAGATGTGCGCGCGGGTTGTGGACGGTGTCCAACTGCTGCTGGCACTTATCCACAACGCTGGCGTTCAGTCTAGCTGGATGCACATCGCTGCCAACCCCTGTTCGCAACTTGTTCAAAACCTTGATGGTCTGGACGGATTTTTCCTTATCTACGTTATCGAAGGTTTTGTCTATAGCCACACACATGCCGACGCACTTAACTAAGCGAATCAGACGCGTATACTCCTGCTGGTACTGGTACTTGGTGCCGATCCATTCAAGCGCCTTGTCCTGGACCTTATTGTGCACACTTTCGGTCTCTGCCTGAAACCGGCACATGGCCTCCAGGTTTAGCAGATGCTGAATGTCATCCATGTCGGTGACTATGTAGGACGCCTTTGTCGGCAGATCCATTTTGGAAATTTCGCCCCAGGATTCGGGACCCGAATCCGAATTTCGGGTTTGATTTGCTTGGCGGTGGCTGCTATCGATTACTAGGAGTTATGGCGTGGATAACTTTTTTTATCCGGATTGTCCGTACCTGTGATTGGCAAAATAAAATATCGATGTTGTCGATGGTTATTAATAATCGGTAGTTGGATTTTGCAGCTCTACTCCTCGGGCCACACTAAGCAACACGTGTTGCCGGCTGTTTCGATTTCGTTGCGCTTGGAAAATAAATAAACGTATCGTTTTCCGAAACTTATCCCCACAGGAATTTGCCAAATGCCTCGCGTCAAGAAACAGAATCCCTTTGCTGCTCGCAAGCGCCAAAAGCGCGAGAATGTGAGTAGATTCAAACTTGAAAAAGGAAAACGCACATTCATTCTGTCGGATATTTTTTACAGGGTCCGCCGCAACCAGACCGCCGCGCTTTGCCGTACGAGGAGATCAAGCGCGACAACGCCTTCTTCATTAAGTACTATGATCTGCAGAAGATCTGCTCCACTGAGGATGAGTGGGTGCAGTTTCTCACATCCATACGCGATAACTTGCCAACCACGTTCCGGGTGACGGGCTTCAAGGACGAGGCCAAGGCGTTGCTGGCAATCATCGAGTCGCAGCTATTCACCGAGTATGTGCGCGCGGTAGCCGAGCTGCACCAGAAGCCGCCAGAGGAGGTGGAGCGACCGCTCTGCCTGCCCTGGTATCCCAACGGCCTGGCCTACCAGCTGCATCTCACACGAAAGGATATCCGCCGTTCGGAACCGCTCTATCGGCTGCACAACTTCCTTATAGTCGAGACGACGGCGGGTGGCATTAGCCGTCAAGAGGCGGTCTCCATGATTCCTCCTATCGTACTGGACGTGAAGCCAACGGACAAGGTGCTAGACATGTGCGCAGCTCCCGGATCCAAGACGGCGCAGCTGATTGAGGCGCTGCACGCGTCACCCGAGGAGCACAAGATACCGCCGGGCTTCGTTCTGGCCAACGATGTGGATAACAATCGCTGCTATATGCTGGTCCATCAAGCCAAGCGCCTCAACTCGCCGTGCCTGCTGGTGACTAACCACGACAGCAGCGCCTTTCCCAATCTGCTGACCACTCAGCCGGATGGGTCCCAGGCGATCCTTAAATTCGACAAGATCCTGTGCGACGTACCCTGCTCGGGCGACGGAACGCTGCGCAAGAATCCGGACATCTGGCTGAAGTGGAACCTGGCGCAGGCCTATAATCTGCATGGAATTCAGTACCGGATCGTGCGGCGCGGCGCCGAGATGCTGGAGGTTGGCGGACGTCTGGTTTACTCCACCTGTTCGCTTAATCCTATCGAGAACGAGGCGGTACTGCAGCGCATACTCAAGGATGCTGATGGTGCCCTGGAGCTGGTCGATGCTGGCCATCTGGTGCCGGGCCTGAAGTACAAGCCGGGCATGACTGACTGGAAGCTGGCCACAAAAGAGGTGGATCAGGTGTTCGCCAATTTCGATGAGGTGCCAGAGAGCCTGCACACCATTATACGGCCGGGCATGTTCCCGCTGCCCGCTGAGGAGATGGACAAGATTGGCCTGGAGAAGTGTATACGTGTTCTGCCGCATCTGCAGGACAGCGGTGGCTTCTTTGTAGCCGTTCTGGAGAAGCGGCGTCAGCTTGCCTTTGAGAAGAATGACGTTAAGGAGCTGGTGGCCCAGACTCAAAAGGCCAATGAAGCCGACACGACTGCCAAGGAGCCGCAGTTGGACGAAGAAGGCAAGCCCATTGAGGAGAAGTCCGTGCCCTGGGGACCGCAACGCAAGCGCCGGCGCCTGCACGGCTACAAGGAGGATCCTTATGTGTTCTTTGGTGAAAACGATGCCGATTATTTGGCGATTAAGGAGTTCTACCAGCTGGACGGCTCCCTTAACCAGCGCTGCCTGCTCACCCGTTGCCTGACCGATAAGAAGAAAAATATCTACTATTGCTCCGATGTTATCCGGGATTTGGTGTTAAACAACGAACACAACATTAAGATCATTAATACGGGCGTAAAGACATTTGTGCGCTGCGAAAACCGGCACACTGTACATCCGTATCGCCTGGCCCAGGAGGGCCTGCAGACATCTAACGCCTTCATGGGCGCCAACAGGCGCATCGAGGTGGAGCGCGACGATCTGGTTCTGCTGCTGAACTGCACCGATCCCACAAAGCCGCCATCAACGCACGAGCTCAAGCAGGAAACCCAACAGCGCTGCAAAGAACTGGGTGAGTGAATGAACACACCGTCATGTGATATAATACTTAATCCCTTCTACTATTTCAGGTGTGGGCAGCTGCATCCTCAAGTATGTGGACGAGCGTTTCACACTGTTCGTGGTGGGATGGCGCGGAACCTCCAGCCTGCGCGCCTATGTCCACAAGGACGAGACAATCCACATTCTCCGCCTGCTGGGCGCGGACCTCACCAAGTTCGAGACCAACAAGTACGAGGAGGCTAGAGCTGCCGCGGCTGCTGCAGTTTTGGCTGCCACAGACGCCGCCAAGGAAGCCGACGAATCTTCCGAGTCTGGTGAGGGTGCTGCGGCCGCTGCATTCGCCGGTGGATTAGAAACCGAAACCGAGGTGACTGCCGAGAGCTAGTGCTTCGTGGGAAAGGGCGGAGAAAGTAGCATTTAAGAGGACCAATATTCACGTGTATAATAAGTAAGGAAACATATGCATATGTGTCTAAAAAATTAAATATTGCTTTGTAATATTACAATGGTTATCAATTATTTTTATACCCTTGCAGGGTATTATAATTTCAGTCAGAAGTTTGCAACGCAGTGAAGGAGGCACCTCCGACTATATAAAGTATATATATTCTTGATCAGGATCAACAGCCGATTCGATCTAGCCATGTCCGTCTGTCCATTTCTACGCAAACTAGTCTCTCAGTTTTGAAGCTATCTGAATGAAACTTTGTAGTTACTCTCACTCGTATATACATATGTCGGAACGGGACGGATCGGACGACTATATCATATAGCTCCCATAGGAATGATCGGAAAATGTTTACAAAAACAAATTTTACTTTTTCAGTTTTCAATAGAATTGGATCAAATTTGAGATATAGCCATTTCACTCTACAATTTTGCATAAAATTTTATGAAAATCGGACTACTATATCATATAGATCCCATAGGAACGAACGAGAAATTAATACAATTAAAAATTATAACTTTTTCGGTTTTCAACAGATTTTCACCAAATTTGAGGTATAGCCATTTTATATTAGTCTTACATTTTGTTTAAAATTTCATGAAAATCGGACGCCTATATAATATAGGTGTAGAGGAAAAATGCAAATCTGTGAATGTAAAACTGCAAATATAATATGTATAGGTGAATGAAATGAATGCAGGTATTACTTCATTGTTTTTTTAACACAAATATATATAATTTATATTGTATGGATTCCTATTCATAGAAGTTCTATCTGCAAGGATATATAAACTTCGGCGTGTCGAAGTTAGCTTCCTTTCTCGTTCAATTATGTTATAAAAACAAGTTGAGGTTTAAAATGAAAGAAATGGGCACATTGACATCATGATCGAGTTATCGATAAGATCCGGCTGAGGCAAACAACGGCTAAATATTTAAATATTACTTATAGATATCAGATTTTCTAAACATTCAAAATTTTACGCACCCATTAAAAGTCATTGAATTTATTCTTTACTAGTTTTTTTGTTATAAAATGTTACATTTATGTTTTTATTTTAAATTTTTCCCAGTATAAATATATCGTATGTAAAGTATATAAAAAAAAGTTTATTAAAAAATTACACATGCTCTTTATATAGATGTTTTTTTTGTTTTCTTCTCCTTTCTAGTCGTATTTTTTCTTTTTCAGTTTTATACGCTTTATACGTTGTTTTTGTGTCTTTTTAAAAAGTTTTTGTTTGTGTTTGCCCATACATTATATCTTTATTTGCTTTTTATCAAGTTGCGGACGACGTAGAATCCAAATATTCAGAGTGAAGCGACTTTTTGGCTGTCGCATTGCTTTTGTCGTTGCTGATGTGTGTTTTCCATGCAAAAAAATCAAATACAAATATATATATATATATATATATGCATGTATGTGAGACGAATGTTTATTTTATGTTAATTACGTAGGAATGAGACTGGCTCTCTCGCAGTTGTTAATAATACAGAAATAATAATATAAAATAAAATAAAAAAAAAAAACAAATCGAATGTGATAATAATAATAAAATACTTAAGCAACGTCGAGCAGTTGCTGTTGCAGCGCAATCACGATTCTCTGGCTAATTATAACGCATGCGCAGCTCAGTTGCAGTTTTTCTTCTCCTCGAATCGAATCGCATTACACATTTCACATTGGAGGGAAGGCGGTGAAACGAAGGTTTATATAGGCATACAGATATACGTATTAAAAAAAAGGAGAGATGTCGGGAAGTGTCGGCGCTGAACGCTGGAGAGGGGATGTGATCGGTGTTGTTTGTGTGTTTACGTGTTGTTTGGAACGCTTAAGCCTTCTTCTCGGCCTCGATCACCTCCTTGGTGGGCAGCACGTTCTTCTCGTTGGTCTCGGTGTGCTTCAACTTTTTCGCATCAAAGTTCTCAATGCCGGAAATAAACTGATTCTTTTCCTTCTCCTGCTCGATGGCTGCAATTGAGAGGAATAGTTCAAATGATAGAAATGTATTACGAGTTGCAGTTGCAATAGGCCTAGTTGCTCGGCTAGTCGGCTGGTTGACTATCTGACTGGCATTGGTCATTGTTGCCATCTAAGGCAGCCTGCTCCGACTGCGCCAAAAACGGTCAACGAGGCCGGTTGCCCCGCTTTTATGGCCAGATGTTTGGCCTATACAATACGCACCCTCCTTATCGGGCAACGGGTTCTTCTCGTTGGTCTCGGTATGCTTCAAATTGTTCTGATTGAAAGCAGTGATGCCCTCGAAGATCGACTGTTGGGTCTTCTCAGCAGCCACATCTGTTGTTGGTTCAAGGATATTAGAATTTATGCTTTTCTTTTGGAGCAACTACTTACCCTCGGCGGTGGGCAAGACGATCTTCTCTTGGGTGCTGGCATTCTTCAGCTTATCCTGATTGAAGCCCTCCAACTGGCTCTTCAGATTCTCGGCCACCTTGGGCAGATCCTTGAGTGCTGGTGCTGGGGCGGCCATCTGAAAGATATATACATATATTTTTAGTCTCTTGTGCCATGAATTTTGCACATTAAAAGAACAAATAACACTTTAGGTCACCTAAATATATAAGCATGTTTGCGCACATGTGTCTCAAGAACAAATAAAAACTTTACAAAAAGAGATAAATAAAGTTTTCCAAGAATTTGTTGTGTATTTAAAAAGAAACTAAGTCACTGTTTCTTTTAACTGATTGAAAGAATTAAATAGAAAATTGATAGCATATATCGGCAGTGTACCGAATGTTTATTTATCGTTTACTGATATAATTGAAGGCTTCCAACTATTACAAAGAAAATTAAATTAAAAACACAAATTAGTTAGTTTTCTCTGCTAATTATTTGCATGATTATTATTACCATTATAAAGATTTTACCCTTAAGCGCTAATTATCAGCAATACTATTTCCCTCTACCAAATTCCCAAAGTTCCTAACACTTGTTTGTATATTTTCTTTTCAAAGCGGAAGGGGATATCGGATGTTATCGGTGAGTAAGAGGAGGAAGCTAGTCTAGATAGCCGATCTGTTACTGTTGTGTTGTTACTACGTTTCATATTGATAGCTATTTCGTCTTAATAAATAATTCATTTTCGCTGGAAAACAAAAACGCCTCTTTGTTGACCGTTGTGTTCGATTTCTCAAGCGATTGCTAAATCAACAAGAAGTTAATCACACCAATGTCGGGGCCGATAACGATGACTCAATAAGCAAGGACGATGACGTGTGTCTCCTATCTGCAGCCAGCATAAAGGAAGAAATGAAAAAAATAGCGTGAGGGACAAAGAGAAAGACAGAGCGAGCGCTGCAAAGAAAGAGTTCAGCGAACCTTTCCAACTGGAAAGAGATTACGAGTGGAATTGGACGGTTCTCTCCGCTGTTCTTTTTCTTTTTCTGCTTCTGTTTTAGTTATTTTTTTCTCCTCTTTCCTTGTGCGCTTGTTTGTGGCCTTTGTTTTATTCTTTTAAACGCTTATCAGCTGGAATGTACTTGGGGAGCGGTTAAGCTGCATTTTATCACGTTTATTTTTAGTTGCAAAATTCGTGTGTGCGTGACCCATTCCTCTTTTGAGAGCTCCAATCGAAGTCACAAAGAATTGGCTTTGTTTCAATATCGGGGGAATCAAGTCATCAAGTGATCAATTCTCAAGCTTGGATTGAACAGCTGCAAGCATTACAAGGGCAGCGACCGCGCCAAAGACAACAAAAAGCGCATATGTACATACAAACAGCACACAGAAAGAAACGGAGAATAAATACAACTCGACGAATCTATATTTATTTGCACATTTATGGCCATAAATGGTCGTAAAGCTGCGCCTCGAGCGGCTGGCCAATCACGTTAATTGTTGATTGACTAACGGCAGCCGGCAGCCGGACACCTCCCTCTACCATCCATCCTTCTCTTCAGTCTCTGCACACTCCACTGCACTGCCGAAGCTGCACTCTTCTCGCAAAATCAAGTTTATGCGGAGCCCTGACCTCGAAGAATCAATAGAGCCAGGCTTTAAAAATTGAATATTAACATCAACTAAGTGCAAAGCCTTGATTAAGAAATTCAAAATAACGATAGTAATTTTAAGAAAGATATAAATCAACTATTTCGAACTCAAAATCAAACTCTCCTGTTAGCAATCAAGTTATTTTTAAGAATTACGAATCAATTGATCATCAGTTAAGCCTGTTCACTGCTCATGCATCCCAATTATTTATCGCAACTAGCAAAACAGTGCTTGCTAATCTTTACTTTTCGATAATGCTGATGAATTGCTCATTATTTATTATCGCTACAATTAAGAAACAAAAACACATGTGGACTAAAATAACTAACTACGAAGAAATGATTCAAATTCGGTGTCTTTTAATTTGTTAAAATTTATATTATATGATCCCTTCCTTTTAAAGTTCCGCTAATAATTTTACTTACTAATGGCGCATTCAAAGTTTGAATTAATTTTTGAGTTTCATAAACAATGCTCGCAAATTGTAAGTGATATTTAACCCCACGTACAAACAAACGGGTTTATGCATGTCAACAATCACGAACAAACAGTAAGCTGAGCTTAACCGATTAAAATAAGCCACCTCTCGGTGGCTAGTACCATTTGCATTCCGATTAATTGGGAATCGTGTAAGTCGAGTGTCGCATTAGTCAGCTCCTTGCAGCAAACAAAGGAGAAACCAACACATGCACACTGCAACTTTGCAAGCACACATACATAAATTGTACGAACTGAGCAGAGGCAGGGGGACACATGGAGTTTGCCGTGAATCAACTTCCAACTTCGAAATATGGTCGCCCCGGTTAAAAGCAACCATTGGATGAATCATACCGGGTATGTCGCTATATAATTCTCCTGTTACCCTGCCCACACAGCTGTGCTTCTTCTTCTTGCTCTTGACTTTCGTAAGCTTTCCACAGCTCAACGCTCTTTTCTTTTCTTTTTGCCCTTTCTTTCTCCTCGGACTTTTTCCTGTTTTTGGTTAATTTTATATCGTGTAGCTTATGAGAGGGATGAGAGCGGTGCCGGGTGTGAGTGAGACGGCGCCAAACGGCCGTTAGCAAAAGAAACAACAAAATAAATATAAAAAGACGCCGAATTTGTTTTGCCCACTCTTCAAGTTATAATAATAAAATGAAATGAGTCAAAGCTGCTGATGCGTGGCAACCGACAGACGAATGGAGTTGAAAAAGAAAAGTTAAGGGGTGGGGAGATGGAAGGAGAAATGAGAAATGACAGACACGTCCGCTTTACACCCTCAACTCCTGCATAAATCTGCATACCAGCATGTGTGTGTGGGTGTGCGTAAGCTAAACTGATGGGGGCGAGCGAGATGGCAACTCGCAATGAATTTTAAGCATTCACATATACACACTCATATGCATACAGACAGAATATGCAGGCTGCTGAATTAAGCCATATTTTGTGCATATATTTAATTTCAAAATCCCTGGATATCGGATACTGAACAGTGGATACTGGATACATGAACATGTGTATGCTGGTGACAATGAAGCGAGGTCGCCACGCCCAGCAAAATTCGCAACATGCTGGCACACATACGTATGCACATACAGTGGTGGTTAAAATAGTGGCACTGAATTAAAAACTGCCTTAAAATGTTAATTACTTTGATTCTTAGAAAACACAAATGAGCAAGTAATTTAATTTAATTTTTTAATGCGAATACCGTTTTTTTCATCTTACTTCTTGTTGATTTAAGAACCTTTCAGCAGTTTTGTATAATAGTTGCATTATCAAAATTAAAGTTAATTGCAAATCGATTAAATTCTTAAATGAAAACAACAGACACTTCTAATGCTCTGAATTTGAAGTCTGTTTTTTGGTTATCATTTTGTGGCCGGCACTGTGTGCAAGTGCATGACTTGCGCGCAGTTTCGTGGGGAGGATATTAAGCAGCAGCAACCAAATGCGCCCCGCCCAAGTATCACTCACACATACACCCATATACAAGCAGCAGCAGACGGTGAAAAAAGAAGTGAAAAATGCCGGCCGGCACTGTCACACACACACACAGCAGCTTAAGCCACACACACAACAATAAAAAATAGTCAACAAAAGCAGACAATGGCTTTTTAACAGCTGCAAAAAAAAAAAAACCAATTACAAAGAAGTGGAGAGGGACGCCTAACGGACCTTCAGCCACAATAAATATTTATTACAAATCCGCTGATGGCCTGGCCCGCTGCCATTTTTGCAATCAATGAAGAAGCGCAGTCAACAAAAACCAGTTAACTGCTTTCAGTTCTTCATCTCTTTTTCTCTCCATCCATCCTCCCCTTCCCCCTTGCTGAACGGTCGGAGAAGAGTGAAATTGCCGGCAGTCCCCTTCCCATAGTTTAAAAAAAAATTAACAATGAAGCTTACCTTAAGTTTGGTTTTTGGCGTTGGTTGCTTTTAGACTTGGCGACAAGGATTTAAGATTGGGATGCGGCGGGGTAGACTCCGAGCTCTAAGTTAAGGACCGTGCACTAAATAGGCTTGCAAAACACCGATTTCTTATTTCTAGCCGAAGCTGTGATTTAATACTGCCGAAGCTCTGGACGTTTGAAAACTTAATGTACGGCGGTGTTCGGAAGTACTCGGCGGAGTCGCAGAGCAGTGTGGCTGCACCAGCTCAACACTAAAAGGAACAGAAAAATGGCCGTTTTCCCCCTCCAATGCAGCTGGTCATACTTGCTTAGCAGAGAACGCAATCAAACTACGTAACGCGATCCAAAACGGTATATTTTGGCTGAAAATCAACAAAAATTTATCTTTTGTTGCTCCGGTATGACCTTTGAATTTATGCTAATGCTGTCGCTAGACGATTGGTTTTGGCGCAGGCGGTAATCAAACTACGTAAAGTTTTAAAACGTAACTTAATGTAAAACACTGACTGTGATAAACTGTTATAAGTTGGTATAAAATGTTTGAAAAAACTGGCAGGGGAAGAAATAAACTGTTAGACGGTGGGATAAAGTTGGTAGCAGCACTGCGGTCACACCGCTCGCCTTCAGTTGTCAAAAAGTAACGGAGCTTTCCCGCCCAGTCCAATTTCGTCAAGTGTTTTTTTCGTTTTTTACAATAACTATTATTGTTTTGTCTTACAATGAGCTTGCAGGACGAGAGTTTTCCGTCCGACGAATTGTTTGAGCAGCTTAACAGCCGAGTCCCGCGGACCAAGTTCTCTGAGCTCCATCAGCCAGCCGCCTTCGAAAGGCATCCGGCGCCATTTTGCGACTCCTACACAGATGTGGCCGACAAGAGCGGCAACACGTGCGTCAGCGATCCCGTGGGTCGCCACGAGGCGGAGGATGAGGACGAGGAGAAGATCGAAAATGATGGTAGGTAAAACTCGATATCATGTGCGCCCCACGATCATCCTGTCTCCATGCGTTCCGCAGTGTACGAGTTACGCGGTGGCCGCGGCGGGCGTGGCAGCATGGCGGCGTCTTGCCAGGATGTCCACTCAGCGTACACCAAGCGAAAGTACCAGCATGTGACCAGCAAGGTGGCCAAGTACATCAGTGACCTCAACGACCAGAAGAAGCGACGCAGCACAGCGGGCTCCATTCAGCGTCACAGCTCCATGCCGGAGTACCTCACACCCAAGTCGCGGGCTCGCCACGGTGGTGGTCACTTCAGCGTCGATGAGTTGCATCAAATGGAAGAGGAAGAGTCACCTAAGGCCTCCAAGGACAGCAGCTGCGTCGATTACGAGATGCTGCAGAACGAGCATGAGATGCTGCGGAACGAGAACGAAGCCATAAGAGAAGAGAAGGAACGACTCCAGTCCTATAGCGACTACCTTCAGGAACGGCTAGACGCCAAGCAAAGCCAGTTCGTGCAATTGAAGCGCAACTTCGAGACGCTGCGCACCGAGTTGAGCGATAAGGATGAGAAGCTGAAGCGCCATCAGAGAAACTCACTGCGCGCCCTTAATAACTGGCCACCGCCGGTCATAGCCAAGGCCACGCAGACGGATATGATCGAGTTAAAGTCTATTCTCAAGAGCAATAACCTTGTGAGGCCGCCTCCAAGCTTCGATCTGTCGTACAACACCAGCGAGGGCTCCATCGAGATGGCCCTGCCCACCGGGGAGTCTCTAGTTAGCCCGCTGAATCCTGGCAACGAATCGGAGGCCAGGACAACAGCAGCGCCCAACAGCTCGGAATCAAGCCAACCCAGTAGCAACGACTCGGCCATCGATGTGGAGAACCACGGCCTCCGTATGGGCCTATACTATGTCGACGAGCGCCGCAACCGGTTCATGCAGATACAGGGCGTAAGCATGGACAACCAAGGATATGCTTGGTTACGTCCCAAGCGGATATCGCTTGGCAGCCGCATGCTGCGCATTTTTGGGCCCTGCGTTTCGTGCAGTGACAACGGTCAGGGCCAGGCGCTGAATGTCACCTACGCTTCAGAACAACCGCTGCTGGAGGAGGGGATGGTCAGCCAAAGGATCCAACGCTGATCGCTGGTTCAATGCATCTTTGCATTAAGTTATTTGTATTTTTTATTATTTTTATGTTCATATGTACTCAGTATTCCTCATTTCGTTCAGTTAGAAGGTATTTGGTTAACCAATATGTATATTCATGTAGAAGCTATTTATTAAACGCTTGTCGCATTTTATATTGTTCTTTCCATCATGAAGGGTTCGAAAATGTACCTGAAAAGTTTATCTATAAGAAATGCCACCTGGTAGTGGAAACCGTTTTTTTCCTTGTTTTTGTAACTTCGCTGGTGCTTCGTTGGGCTTTCTCCTTGCCGGCAAATGTTCCATTTCTTTTGTGATAATTAAAATTTAGTTAATTTCCAAAATAATTATTAAGAAGTTTTTTTAATATACTTTTTATTAATTGGGAGTTTTTAATGGGAAACCTAAATGTAGTTATATTATTTTGGGAAATCAAATTAAGCTATTTGCATTTACTAAGACCTGTAATATTCCCGTTCTTTAATTCGATATTTTTAGATGGTATTTAAAATTTTTTTTTTTATTAAATTATAAGAAAAAAAGGCCTAATTTCAATTTACATTTTCTGTGATACTTTTTATATGTTTAATCAATATGTATACTAAATTTAAATATATTTGAATTAAATATTTACCAATTTCAATAATTTTAATCATATAGCCACTTTTAAATTTTAATCAAATTGTTAAATATGTAAACTAAACATAAAATAAACATCGGAAAGCCCAATTATAGGATCGAATCGAAATTAGATGTTAACTAAGCCTTAAATATTCAAATATATACTTAACAATATTTTTATATGAGCGTTTTTCCCCAAATCAAAGATTAATAAAAAAAATCATTATTTTAAATTTGTTAATTTTTATCAGGGTAATAAATCTGCATACTTAATTTAAAATTTAAAAATATAAAATTGTTTTCGATATTATATATATATATATCTTGTATAAATGATCTTAGTATTTTATTAGTAATCATTATTAATGATAATTTTACTGACGAATCGAAATATATATATGTTATTTTTGCGAATTACTGGCTTTTTGGCATATTATGCTTTCAAGAAGAACTGAAATATTCCCACTCATTAAATAGATATTAAAAAACAATTTTTAATACAATATATTTATATTATTATTACAATTTTATGTTTTTAATTTTAGCGATAAGGGAAGGCTTTAAATTAAAAAATTATAATTTGTCCCGTCCCATGTCGGAATATTTATATATCTCGTCAACAGAAAATCTTACGCTATCTACTTAATTATAACTTAATAATATATATTTTATTAATAATCCTTATTAATAATAATTTTAATGACGAATCGAAATGTTATTTTTAGGAATCACTGTCTTTTTGGCACATTATGCTTTCATAAAGAACTGAATTGTTCCCACTCATTTAATAGATATTAAAACAAATTTTTAATGCAATATATTTAAGTTATTACTTAAATTTTTGTTTTTAATTTTAACGATTAGGGAAGGCTTTAAATTAAAAAATTATAATTTGTCCCGTCCCATGCCGGAATATTTATATATCTCGCCAACAGAAAATCTTAAGCTGGCTAGTTAATTATACTTTATAATATATATTTAATTTATAATCATTATTAATAATAATTTTAATGACGAATCGAAATATATATATGTTATTTTTGCGAATCACTGGCTTTTTGGCATATTATGCTTTCAAAAAGAACTGAAATATTCCCACTCATTAAATAGATATTAAAACAAATTTTGAATATAATATATATATATTATTATTTATATTTTTTGTGTTTAATTTTATCGATAAGGGAAGGCTTTAAATTAAAAAATTAAAATTGTCCCGTCCCATGCCGGAATATTTATATATCTCGCCAACATTAAAATCCTAAGCTGGCTACTTAATTATAACTTAACATGTGAGAAAATGTTATTTTTCAGTAAGAAATGTATAATAAATAGTGAAAACGTCATATCGCCTTTTTAAAAGCATCAATAGTGACGTTGAAGTATTTTATCTATAAAAATATCGCTATATTGGACATCGATATCGATACAGATAGAGACGGCAAGGAAACATCGATTGGTAAAAAGAAACATTGAACTTCAAGCAAATTAAATCTACATTTCCAGTCGAACCGAACGTGAACGTTAAGCAAATAATTAAAAATAAAAAGATGAAGCGAGGTCGTCGTCAAAATATTAACAAGAATTTTGTCGCTGGAGGAGTCTACGTAAGCATACCTTCATTAGTACCATTCTTTGCTTCCTTTTTCATCCCACAAAAACGCCGCAATTTGATTTTCTCTTTTTTATTTGCACCGCCGATATGAGTGGGTGTGTGCGAGCGAGCGAGTGTTGTGTATGTATGCAAAAGAAAGAAAGAGAAAAAACTCCATTTTGTTTGTATCATATGCGTATGAATATTTAATTTGTGTAATAACAGAGATTCTGTTTTCGTTTCTATATAATTTACAGCGCACAATATGAAAATGTGTGTATTCCTTCACCCCAATTGTGAATCCATTTGCAATAGCTACTAAAAGCGGGTTAATCGAAAGTGCAGACACAGTTGTCCGAATTTCACCAGGCATGACATCCCCCTCCCCGCTCCATCAACACCGTTCCAGTCACCCATTGGACTCACACTCACACTTCCATATATTCCATATTCCATTTCGATTTGCTCGGTGGCTTCGAACAACTAGAGATGGCCAGCATTGTGATAGATTCCAGCTGGACTTGCGGTTTTCGCTAACTTTTATGGCTACTGAAAATGCATTCACCCGAAATTGTAACTAAAATTATTAGTTTTGCGTCAGATAGCAATGCCCATTCACTCCACCGAAAGTGCCCGAAACGAGAAGCGCCGGCAGTTAAAATACACAGGCCATGGACCAGGGGATACGGAGTAACTAGTCACAATCTGTAGCACTATGTTGCAGGCTATCAACCTGGTTATATCGCATTTGAATCCGCTTTCTGATGCCCTTTTACGGTTCTTAAGTACCTTAGGTACTCAGAAAGAGGCCTTTGTATGCCGCATAAATAGATCCGCTTGTCGGCATAGTGCATTAAACATTGAGCCCCGATCCCCTGGTCCTTGACCAGGATGTGACAGATCCACAGTGGGCTGGGCACGTGGCTCCGTTGGCGCAGAGCTTCGTATCGGGTCACTCGGGTCGCAGGAATGGCCATGGCTAGGTTCCTGAACTATGGTTTTTAGTAGACCAGCTGACCGCCCGGCCGCGAGCCTGATGACTTGATGGTTTCCCCTTGAGCCAAGCGAGTCTCTTTATTTTGGTTAAACCACTGGATTTAGGCCGCTGCGAGATTTTCTTTCCAGCGGAGCCTTGAACGACTAGCAACGCCTACGGAGTTTCTTCCTAAAAAACTAATGAAACTCTTTTGCAAACCACGCAGAATCCCAATGCTACTCCCAAACCATTGATCCAGTCGGCGCTGGGCCCTAGTGGCCAAGAGCAGCAGCAGCTGCAGGAGCCGGAACTGCCGAAGCAGAAGCAGCAGCCGGAAGAGCCGCAGAAGGGGCAGGAGCCGGAGCAGCCGCAGCTGCTTCCGTCGCCGGTTTCAAGTCCATCACCGGTTCCAAGTTCTGTCCCAGTTTCTGTCTCAGCTTCTGTATCAGCTTCGGTTCCAGTTGCATCGGTAGAGCTCGAGCCCAAGCTGCCCATGCCGATAATTGTCAAGATGGAGCCAGTAGATGAACCTGATGAGGTGACTCCCATTGTTGTGCCCGAGGACAATGGCACTACTGGCGGCAAGATACCCTTTAAGAAGATCTTTCAGAAGCGCAAGAAGTCTTCCGGTAAGACGATGTGAATTCATTTACAGCAGGAAATAGAGAGAGAAAGCAACGTTCCATTGCAGAGCGCACTCGTGACAAGAAGCAGCGCCAGAACCGGCAGCTGCGCAAATCAATGCTACCGAAGAACGCCTTGATGGCTCTTAACGAGGTGAAAGGCGTCACTATTAGTGACTTTACCATCGACAGCAATCCCGATGGTGGCTTTACGGCCGTGGTTACCGTCAATTCGAATCAGTATGAGGGCAAGGGCCTCTCTAAGATGTCCGCAAAGAATGCAGCCTGTGAGAAGGCCTGGCGTGACTTTATAATTGCCAAGATGACGCCCAAAAAGCCCAAACTGCCGGCAATGAATAGCAGTGATGACAATGGTGTCGACTTAATGGACGTGGCCGATGATGAGTCGGAGTCCCCGGAGGATGATTTGCCCATGTTGAATCTGGCTTCTTTTGCCATTTACAAGTTGTTTGCAGAATGGGAGCGCGATGGTTATATCGTTCCCGAGATGCATCCGTCGGCAGCAAATGCATCTGTGCCAGCTTCTGGCGGCGATGCAGCCGCACCACCGGCACCCATGCCGCCCAAGGAGAAGAAGCCACCAGTGCGCGCCGAGTTGCCCACCGGCTGGGAGAGTCTGCATCCAGCCACTATTCTATGCATTGTATGTTTATACCAGTCCGAACATCATAGAGATAACTAATTCCATTAACTTACAGATGCGTCCTGGCGTCACTTACGTGGACTATGGAACTTCCGGCGACAAGCCGAACGTTATGCAGCATCTGGGCATTGTGGTGGACGGTCAGGAGTTCACCGCCAGCGGCCGTTCGAAGAAGATTGCTCGCCGCAACGTGGCCGTTAGCGTTTGCAATACGCTCTTTGGCACCAACTTTTTATTTGAGAACCCAACTGCTTAGGCCCTTCGATGGCCTCCCGAATTAAACTAAACCCAGCTTAACGGGTTGTTCTTAAAGGCTGCAAAACGCGCAATACAACATACTTAATTATACAATTATATACTTAATTATACACATATATTTTAATCATGTCAGAATCTAATTTTAGTCTTATGACAATATCTGATGTACACATTATTATACTTTTTCACCAATTTTACAAAAACAAGCCGTTAAGCTGAGGTCTAGTATTTATTATAAAAATTAATAAAAGGTATTTCAATTATATATCAAAATGCAAGTGTTTTTTCTTATTTTACATTTCGGAATTGGAATTGTCTTAGGTTTAAAAAGTATAAGTTTCCAAAATCCGATATTTTAATCATATTTAAGTTTAATTACAAATATTTATATTCAAATACTCCATTGAAATATTTAAATATATTTTGTTGAAATTAAATCCTATCAACGGTTATAAGGTTATAATTTATTTAATTTTACTTTTCAAACCTGCAATCGGAAAATTATTATTGTTCTCCCAATTATAAGATTAAATACACTAACCAAAATATATTTGTATGCAAATACTCCAATATTTAAATATATAAATATATTTTGTTGAAAACAATCATTTAATTTAACGTTTTTTTAAATCGCATCAATAGGTTTCTGCAATCGGAAAAGTACATTTCCAGTGGCAGTTATCGATAACTTGAACTTAGCCATTTTCTCTGCATATGGCCACACTTGAACAGCCGACAGCTGATTTTTCGTTAGTTTTTCATAATCAAAACGCAAAATGTCGAAATTACTAACCGAAATGGCAATGAACACGCTGCGGAACACTCGGTTCGGCGCCCGTCAGCTGTAAGTAGTTCTCGGATGTCATAGTGACCACTATGCGAATTCAATTTATTTATATTTCAAGAGTTCGCAATTTTGCGGGCATTGCATCTACGCGTAACAATCCCGAACCGGCGCATCTGAAGTCCGGCTATGGCTATGCACATGAACAAGGGCTCCTGCAGCAGCATCAGCAAATGCAGATGCCGTTGGCAGGCAGGCGCAGCATGTTCATCCAGACACAGGACACACCCAATCCGGAGAGTCTCAAGTTTCTACCCGGCGTGGAAGTGCTCGGCAAGGGCAACACCTATGACTTTCCCAATGGGACGACCGCCCATGGCAGTCCACTGGGTAAGTGTGACGGTTTCTTGGAGTTTCTAGAAATCGCCACGTTTACATATGTGCAATTTCTATCTTTCGTTTATTACACCTTAGCCAAACTGCTGTTCCGCGTGGAGGGAGTGCGTGCCGTATTTTTTGGCGCCGACTTTATCACCATCTCAAAGCAGGAGGGCGCCGAATGGAGCCTAATCAAACCAGAGGTATTTGCCGTCATCATGGACTTCTTTGCCAGCGGACTGCCCGTTCTGCATGAGGCTCAGCCCAATGCCGATACCGAGATTCTCGAGGATGATGACGAAACGGTCATGATGATAAAGGAGCTGCTGGACACACGTATCCGACCCACTGTCCAGGAGGATGGCGGCGACATTGTCTTTATGGGTTACGAGGAGGGTGTCGTCAAGCTAAAAATGCAGGGCTCCTGCTCCTCGTGTCCCAGCTCGATTGTGACGTTAAAGAACGGCGTACAGAACATGCTGCAGTTCTACATACCAGAAGTGGAGTCGGTGGAGCAGGTCTTCGACGATGCGGACAGGATGAATGACAGTGAGTTCGAGCGCTTTGAGCGCAACCTGAAGACCTTGAGGCAGCAGGAGCCAACAGCGGCTGGAGCGGGAACGCCAACTGGTGGCACCGGCGGCGGTGGCTCTAATTAGTTTTTCGGGAAAATCTTAATCTTCTATTTATTTGCGTTGCTAATTTTTAGTCAAAACCCATACATACATAAATGTAGTTGATTGTTTAAATAAATCTATTGCTTTAAGCTTGAGTGGAGTCGCGCACAGCCGTTCAGTTATTTATAAATAAGGTTTTTTTTCACTTTTCTACATATTTTTAGGGGGTGGTTTTATTTGAACTCTGTATACTCTATGTGGTCCGGAAATGGCTACCTTGTAAGTTTTACCTAAAATATTGTTAGTACCAGTTCTTACTAAACATTTTAAGCTTAATTAATTCCAGACTAAGCAAGGTCAATAATTCGGGAATGCATTCCGAGAGCTGCCACGACCCAGTTTAACCCCCAAGTGGGTCAATAAACCCGTGCCATTGCCATTGATTTCACAAGTCGAGCGTTTGGATGCCAACCATTGCCAGGCTACACCAAGTTAAATCAATAAATTTGGAATCGCACCCCACCACTCCTCCGGAAAGCAGCTTTGGGATTCCATAAAAACACCTTCAGAAGAGATTGAAGAGCCACCAGGAAAAGAACACGCCAAACGAGTGGAATTTTTGTGGGGAGTATCGACCTGATAATATCTACATTACCTTCCATACCGCACTTCCATGCTCTGCTGGGCCAACGAGGATCATTATTTGAGCCAACGCTATCCAAATCCCCAGCAGAAGGCTCCCGAAACCCTCAAGAACGTGCTCCTTCGCTCCAGTGTGCCGATAGTGAGTGCACCTGAATCCGATATCGAGAATCGACACAACGCCGGCACCATCAACATGGCACCGCTCAAAGGGCAGGAAGTTCTCAAGTTTCACAAGCACTCCTATCTCGAAAATCGCATCTTCGATCACCGCCTGGTGAAGGATAATCTGCTGGACAAGTGGCCCACCGCCGACATGAATGAGTACAACGAACGCAAGGACCACCGCAACTTAATGGAGTCCTATGTACCGGCCCCAGTTCATAACACCCATTACTGCAAAAACCGTAACCACAAGCATATCATCGCATATAGCAAACTATCTTATATTTAAGTTTATTTTATGAACCATTGATTATATTATTTTGGTAACTAAAACCATTAATACTCCTTACATGTTAAACAAGATTATTTAAAGGTTTTATAACTTTATTATCAGACTATATAAATTTAAGTAATACTTATCATTTCCTTTATTTTCTGTATTAGTTTATAACAAACCCATTTCATTTTGTAATATATAATCAAGATTTTCAAGGTTTATCCTTAATTGATTTTAGTTGTTAACTTGGATTATCCTGCATTGAATTAGCGACATTTTCGAAACAAGCCACAGACTGGCATTAATTATTTTTCTTTTCAAATATTTGTTAAGGTAGGCATTGCCTTCCAACTTGGAGACCTGTCACCTGCCCCGGTCCAGATCTCACACTTAAGTAGTCAGTCGTCTATCGCTTCGCACACGAGCTCGCATATCAGTATCAGTTTTTTTTAGAATCACTTAAATAGTTCAAAGCTATAGTCAAAATTCCAAGTGGCACAAATTATTAGTTATCAGTTATCCACGTTCACTGCAATCCTCGTTGATCCGTCACCACAATGGCACACAATGAGGCGGCTGGCGAGGAGTCCGGCGTTCCACAGGACACGGTCATGTATTCTCAATTGCAGCCATGGAGCCAGGCGGGCGCTCCGCCGTGCATGGAGCCCGTCACCGGGCCCTCGATACCGCCGCGCGTCGGTGCCGCCTACGAGACAAACTTGAAGCATCCATGGCGCCCGGCAATGTCCTATGAGCTCATCCAGGTGAAGCATCTGCCCGAGCAGCCGGTGACCAATCAGTTGACGAAGCAATGCTTTCTGCCCAAGGGCATGAAAACGGATGGGATGATATTCCCCAATTTGGTTATTGGATTCGATCGGAATCCCCAGCACGCTGCCCGGGCAGCTCTCTATACGCGATATACCAGCAACGAGTGGTACAACAACAACATGACCAAGTATGCTGAATCAAACATGAATCGGTGAGTATATACTTGTATTTCTTATATTTGCATTAACCCATTAAATATAGACTTATTATTTAATGAAAAATAGAATTTTGAATTAAAATTCAAGCTCTAGCTCCTTTTTTTAGACACTTCTAAGCCTAAATCAATGCAACTATCATAACTTTCCATCTGTTTCCATCTTGTAACCAGTAACCTATCAGAGCGCATGCGCAACGATGCAGTGCGTCTGATGCGTGAGACAGACGAGAAGGCGACCACCGGCCAGCGAGATGCCGGACGACGGCTAGGCGAGCGTATCACAGATCTGACCTTTTGGCGGAATGAGCTGAATGCTGAGCTGGAGAAGCTCATTGCTGAGATGTCCGACATCAATGAGCTGCAACGGCAGTGCGGCAAGGCGCTGCTTGATCTTGAGATCCCGCTGCATATCGCCCAGGAGTGCCTGTTCCATCGCGAGTCCCGGCAGGGTGCTGAGAAGGTGCACGATATCGTCGAGAAGGCCTTGCTGGTGGAGATCAACAACCTGCGCAATTCCCGCGAGCGCTTGGGTGGACTGCACGATAAGATCTCGAAGCAGGCGCTCGATTGTCGCGGTGCCCAGCATCTGCTTGAGGACGATGTGTCGCACAAAGAGTCCTCCTTGGGCATTGACTCTATGTGCCATCAGCTAAACAACCATAGTCGGGGCATCACCTACTACGGCGGCATCGAAAAGTTTGATCCATCGGTGAGCACCCAGGAGTCCTGGGCAATGGCCAGCAGCGAGCATGTTCGTCGGTGAGTTTGCATAGAAATTTCATTAGTTAATTTATCCATTTCCGAACCATTTTTTAATGCAATCTCTTGCAGCTCCCAGGCGGAGCGGAAGAAGCTTTCGATGCTACGCAGCGACTCCCAGAGTGTGGTCAATTCGGTGGCCTCCACCGTCTGGGACTTCTGGAGCAACACAAACAACGCCTTCGATCGGCGCTCGCAGGAGATGGCCGAGGCAAAGAATAGGGTGCAACTGCATCTGCAAAAGGTGCAGCAGGAGCTTTTCGACATGGAGAAGCACCTGTTCTTGCTACAGAAGGCCATCCAGGACAAGTCCGGTCCGTTGAAGGTGGCCCAAACCCGACTGGAGGCTCGCTCGCATCGCGAAGGCGTGGAATTGTGCAAGGATCATGCACAGGACCGTCTCGTTCAGGAGGTCCAAGACATCCAGAGCACTGTGGAGACGCTCCACCATAAGCTTCAGGAGGCGGAGGCCGCTCACCAGTGTCTGTTGAAGACCCGCTGTTCACTGGAGGTAGATCTGCGCAATAAGGTCAACGCGCTGTTTATCGATCGCGAGAAGTGCATGAGTCTGCGGCGCTCCTTCCCGGTCAACAATCTAATCAAGTATTGATCTGGACCTGGCTCCGACTTCCAGGATTCCGATGCCCAATGTAGTCCCGTTGCACCATCGCAGCACGCGCTTCTGTCTAACGCACTGCATGTCACCAGATATTAATTAATAAATCGGAGTTTAATGGTTTTATAAATGAAAACATGCTTTATGAGAATTTATATTGGGTCCTGTAGTTAGTGGTGATGGTTTTAGGCCCAATGGAGAATAATAAAATGGCGGTAGAACAATTGAAACTATCGATAGGAATTTACCGAAAAATAAATTATAATATACCTTTAATATTATGGCAGTGTCCATAACAAACGTACATAAAAAAGTAAATGTTATAAAAAATAATAATTAAAATAATGTTATGTTTAAATCGCATTTGCGATGAAAAACATGCCAGGTCGATTGGCACATCGATAGTCGGACTGTCGTATGTAGGCCATCTCTTAAAGCAGCTGCCTTTCCTTCGTTTGTCAGTACTACAAATTTATAAGTAAAATTGTAAAAGAAAGAAAATTGTTGTAAAAGTGCTGTTTTAAGGTAAGATCATTGTCAATTACATTTATTCAACAGATTGGGATCTGTATCCACGAACAGCTTGAAAGTGTAGATTCAACGTAAATTACAATAATAGCCGGCTGTATAGGTGTTTATTGACATAAAGAACATTTCTGGCTGAAACACAAAGTGTTTACTATATAACGATACATGGTATATATAGAACGCTGCAATCGAGGGTTAACTAAAGGGTAAATCAGATGGTGATTTGCAATAATTTTGCATATTTTGCTCCAATTTGTGTCACCTATTTTTTTCTGCCCCATGTCTGACGTGTACATTCCAGCGAACTATACAGTTAAAACGGTTTCGCCATTGACAGCAATAAAAAAACGAACATAGAAAGTCTGTAAATAATTAACCAAAATTTCTTCTATTCTTTTCCCGTTATTAGGTAGCCAAAATGCGTGTAGCTCTTGGCCTTTTGGCCATAATCTGCGCCCTATTTGTCCTGACCGATGGCGTTGATCCCGGCAACTTCAAGACCTGCGAGCAGAGCAGTTTTTGTCGGTGAGTAATATCTTTCCATTATCACTCCCAGTTGGTACCTAACTGCATTTCTAGGTACTTATTTGTGGAATACCTTTTACAGTTTTACGTACCTCGAGTACAATCATTTAAGAAATGTTGATTTTAAATAACGGACTTTAATTACTTTTTTGACAGACGCTCCCGAAAGGTACAGAGCACGGGCAGCAAGTACGCCCTAATTCCGGGCACCCTGAACACCTACGCCGACTCACTGACCGCCGATTTGGTGAACAAGGAGAATCACCACCAGTTCGCCTTCAAGCTGGAGGCTTTAGTGGGCAGCACTTTCCGCCTGCAGATCGATGAGAAGCAACCGCTACGCCCTCGATATCGCGTAGAGCACGCCTTGAAAGGTCAACCCCAGGCCGGACGCATTCGTGTCGAGCAGGAGACCGACGGTGAAATTGTGATAAGGTCCGAAAAAAATAAGGCTGTGATCCATGGCGATCCTTTCCGCATTGATTTCTATGAGAACGATGTGCTAGTAGTTTCCGTGAACGCCAAAAACTGGCTGTACTTTGAACATCTGCGCCAGAAGGCTCAGGAGCCGTCACCGGATCCATCGGAAAATGATAATCAGCAAGAGCAGGATGCCGCTGTGGAGACACCCAAGGTGGCGGATGCTATCGATGATCCCGGTGCATGGGAGGAGAACTTCAAGTCGCATCATGACTCCAAGCCCTACGGACCCGAGGCGGTGGCTCTGGATTTCACCTTCCCCGCCGCCGAGATTCTCTTTGGCATTCCGGAGCACGCCGATAGCTTTGTTTTGAAGTCTACCTCGGGCACGGATCCCTATCGCTTGTATAATCTGGATGTTTTCGAGTATATTCTTGACAGCAAGATGGCTCTGTATGGCGCCGTGCCGTTAATCTATGGTCATGGGTAAGTGTTATGTCTTTGATTGCATTCCAAATTAATATTAAGGCAAAACTCCTTGAAAAAACCTCCAGGCAGCAGCACACTGCCGGTGTTTACTGGCAGAATGCCGCCGAAACCTGGGTAGACATCCAGACAGCCGAGACGAATGTGGTCTCGTCGCTTGTAAACTTTGTGTCAGGCTCCCGCAAGACCCCACCGCCGGCCGCACATTTCATGTCTGAATCAGGTATCGTGGACGTTTTCATTATGCTGGGACCAAAGCCCATGGATACGTTTAAGCAATATGCAGCCCTTACGGGAACCCACGAGTTGCCGCAGATGTTTTCGCTGGCTTACCACCAGAGCAGATGGAATTATAACGATGAGCGGGATGTGACCTCCGTTTCGGCAAAGTTTGACGAGTTTAACATACCCATGGACACCATGTGGCTGGATATTGAGCACACCGATGGCAAGCGGTACTTTACCTGGGACAAATTCAAGTTCCCCCATCCTCTGACGATGATTAAGAACCTGACAGAGCTGGGCCGCCATTTGGTGGTGATTATTGATCCGCACATCAAGCGAGACAATGGTTACTTCTTCCATCAGGACTGCACGGAACGCGGATATTACATTAAGACGCGTGAGGGTAACGACTATGAGGGCTGGTGCTGGCCAGGATCGGCCAGTTATCCGGACTTCTTTAATCCCGTGGTCAGGGATTATTATGCTAGCCAGTATGCCTTGAACAAGTATCAAACGGTCACGGCTGACGTGATGGTGTGGAATGACATGAACGAGCCGTCGGTGTTCAATGGCCCAGAGATAACAGCACCCAAGGATCTGGTGCACTATGGCAATTGGGAGCATCGCGACGTCCATAATTTGTACGGTCACATGCATCTGATGGGCACGTTTGCCGGACTTCAGCAGCGCGATCCCAACCAGCGACCCTTCATCCTCACCCGTTCCCACTTTGCTGGCTCCCAGCGTTACGCGGCCATTTGGACCGGTGACAATACCGCAGATTGGTCCCATCTGCAGCACTCGGTCAAGATGTGCCTGACGGAGGCGGTGGCCGGATTCTCCTTCTGCGGAGCCGATGTCGGCGGCTTCTTTGGCAATCCAGACTCTGAGCTCTTGGAGCGTTGGTATCAAACGGGTATTTTCCTACCCTTCTTCCGCGCCCACGCCCACATCGATACCAAGCGAAGGGAGCCTTGGCTATTCTCCGAGCGTACACGCGAAGTCATCCGAAATGCGGTGATCAAGCGGTACTCTTATCTGCCGCTGTGGTACACTGCCTTCTACGAGCTGGAGCTGACTGGTGAGCCTGTGATCCGGCCTCTGTTGGCCCACTATCCCCAGGACAAGGAGGCATTTGGCGTAGATTCCCAACTGCTGGTGCAGGATCGTCTGCTCGTTCGCCCGGTCATGCAGCAGGGCGTTAGCAAAGTTGATGTTTATTTCCCGGCCATTGATGACAAGAAGAACGGCGACTGGTGGTATGATGTGGATACTTATCAGCGCCAGGAACGATCTGGTTATGTCTCGGTGCCAGTGGATGACAACAAGGTGAGAAAGTCAAGTGGCTTTTAGATTTCCTTTTATTGATTTCTTCAACTTTATTTCGACAGATCCCCGTGTATCAGCGCGGCGGCAGCATTGTGCCCAAGAAGGAGCGCCTGCGTCGCGCCTCCACCTTGATGTTGCACGACCCGTACACTCTGATCATCTGCTTGGACCGACAAGGCAAGGCATCCGGCTCTCTTTACCTGGACGACGAGAAATCGTACGAGTACCGTCAGGGCAGGCGCATCCATACCATCTATGATTTCTCTAATGGACAGCTGACCAATCGCTTTGAGGGCAAGCCCAAATATAAGACTGATGCCTGGATCGAGCGCATTATCATTGTTGGCTTGGACAAGGTGCCGAGCAGTGCGAGCATCACGGTTAACGGTGTCAGCCAGCAGCTGGAGGTGTTGCCCCAGGAGCGATCTGTTGTTGTGCGCAAGCCGGGCGTCAAGATGGACGTCGACTTTGCCCTTAAACTCAACTATCAGTAGTGTGTATCAGTTCCCGTAACCACGTATTAATGTGTGTTTGTACTTTTTTCTTTCCAACTACAAAAATGTTTAAGCACCACTTAAAAAAAATGCTTTAAAGGACCGAACTCATTCGGAATGAGGCCCAGAGGTGTGTTCACTTTCATGTAAATTCAAATTATAGAATTATATTATATAGCTGCCTCTGAATAATACATAGTTAAGCTCCTGTCAGCGTCCCAACATTCTAAGAAAACTGATTGTTTCAATAAATATAAACGATCTTTTAAGATAAACTATGTTCGTTCGTTTTTTGTGGGAAATGCTTATAAATTGTATATTACACAACAAAATACGCTTAGAATAATTACCTTTAAAGGAAGAATTAATTATAAAACGCTATTATTAAGAGATGAGCTAAAGTCGGGCTGTTATTGTTTCCTCGCTTTGGTACGCGAATTTACAATGCAACAAGAGAAGATTGATTAATAAGATCGAATCGAAAATTGATCCCATCGTAAAATACTCGCGTTTTTTCAATAGATATTTATTGATATGGTTATATGACAATTTTTTCAACAAACCCAAGTTGAAAAATTCTCATAATTCCGCCAAAACAGCCTTAATTTCAATTTGAAGAGTTTTTCCGTGTTAGTTTTTAGTAGGATAATAAATCTGCATACTCAGTTTAAATTATAAAAAATTCAAATTTTTTGACAATTTTTGAAAATTTTAACGATGTAGCCCCTTATCTTTTTTCGAAAAAATTAAAAATTTTTCTTTTCTTCCGGAGATGGCTTGATCGATTCAGCTTTTAATGCCGATAAAGAATATACATATATGATTTATAGGGTCGGAACTGTCTCCTTCCGTGCGTTTTAAGCTTTTTACTAAAATTATAATACCTTACAAGGGGATGACAATTAACTATGTGAAGAGTATATATATTATATTTTTATATTATTATATTATTATATTATTTTATTATTATATTAATATATTAATATATTATTATATTATTATATTATTATATTATTATATTATTATATTATTATATTATTATATTATTATATTATTATATTATTATATTATTATATTATTATATTATTATATTATTATATTATTATATTATTATATTATTATATTATTATATTATTATATTATTATATTATTATATTATTATATTATTATATTATTATATTATTATATTATTATATTTTTATATAATAAAAGTTAAAATTGCACTATGACTTAGTAGAATTGCTTGCTGTTTGCTTTGAGGAGTACTTGAAAGGCCACTTCAGTAATATTTTACAACCATTCTTAGAAAAGAAATAGCGATTAATAATACCAATTAAAATTATTAATAAAATTAAATTAAATTGAATGCAGATAGTTTAAAAAAGGAAGACACAAGAAAGTCAAGAAAAATAAAATAAATTTATGGAATTTCGATTGTTTAAGATAAAATGAAAGCTTAAGGCATTTACTACCAAATACTTGAACTAGAACTTACATATATAAGAAATATAATAATTTAATCAACTATTTACTTAATATTACTATATATTTTCACTATTTCTTTTTTCATGTTCATTTCGTATTGCTGTTTTTTTTACATATAAGTATTTAGTTTCTGGTTGTTTCGCTGTTGGCAACATTATCAAAGTTATTTCAATTAAAACGTGGCCACATAAACCCAAAGGCGGGGATGGGGTTGAGAAAAAAAGAAAAGGGCCTGCATGCCGCACTGACCTCTGACCCCTTGGCCCGGGGACCGGCCGCCCTTAGATGAATTTTCATAATATTTTTCATAACTTTTCGTTTCGGTTGAGCTTAAGAATGTTGTAAAAATATTTCTGCAGCTTGACTCTTCGCCGCTCGCTTCGCTATCCTTTCGCACTTTCTCCAGCCTGCTGTAGCTGTTTTCCTCTGCGGTCAAATATACGTACACATATACATATATATGTAGGCGATTCTCCCCTTTTTGGGGCCATATGAGCACTCGCATGTAAGTCAGCAAATTTTCCAGCAGCATAAGCATAATTATTTTTAATGCGCTCTGTACAAAATTTGAGTCAGAAAACCCGAAAAAGGGGTTTCTGTGCGAAAAAAATAGACACACAAAAACAACAACAAGGAGATCCTTGGTATTTCTCCGGCATCCTTGGCTTCTTCATGTCCTTTTTTCCGCCCGAAATATCCCCGCAAACCCGGAACACACAGCTTCCGCCAAAAAACCAAGCACATTACATTGCGAAATTAGAAAATTAGCTGAGCTTTTAGTTCCTTTTTGCCCAAAACCGATTATATCCTTAAACTCGAAAGGAAAATTAAAAAATAGAGCTTCGCAGGACTGTGTTATTAAAATGTTTTCCATAAAAAGAAAATAATAACAATAAAAACGAATACAAGATGCTGGATATTTCTAATTGCTTTCTTACAGGAGCAGACGGATTTCTAATTTACTTAAATTAATAAATTTAATTTGAACTATGCTGGAAATTAAAATACGTTTTAAATAGCATATATATTTTTTTAAATATAAGTTTTACTTTACTTTATCTAAATTTTATAGGAATGTGCGTTTCATATGCAAAATTATTTGTTTTATTTTGTTTTATATTTCCTTGTTTTATTTTCGCGTGTTTGTTCTTTAAATTATATTTGGCTTAGAGTTTATTTAGCACTGTTGCTGCTGCCATATTGCGGTGTTTAAAACTGTCACAAACTAACCAATCCCCTGAAAAGTTCTTTCCGGATCCTTCCCTATATGGACATCTATGGCTTAAATGTGTTTCAATGGGTCTGTGTGTGTGTGTCTGCAACATTGCAACATTGAATGCAATGTCAGCAATAGAACAAATGTCAGCAGCAATGTCTCGTCACCCATTATTTCAGGGCCCACATCCCGTTTAGAACCTCCAATCCCCAATCTCCGATTACCAACCAGAATGGCGACTGTGCTCTCTGCCTGTGCACAGGAAAAAATAAGCTATGAACAGGAAACATAAATAGTGACAAAATTCAGAAGGTTATTATTTAAAAATTATAGGATTATTATAAGAAAAAGAATATATATATTGACAGTTTCAACTTTTAAATTTAATAAAGAATGAAACTGACTTCCGGAAGCGGAAGTTTATGCACACTTGCAGTTTTCCGTAGGATGACGGGTTCGAATGTGATTGTGACAATAACTATGCCATGATATACATATGTATGAATATTCTACGTATATTAAATATTTTTTATACACAATTTTGTTGGGTAAATCAAAGTTTTTTAAATATCATAACTAAGCCTAAAATGCATTAATTTTAATACGGATAGCTTTTCTGTGCTAGTTTTTATGGGGTTATCAAATCTGCATATTCGATACGAAAATTTTAAAAAATTAAAATTTTTGTCCATTTTTGAAAATTTTAACGATGTAACCCCTTATGAAATGATGAAAAAAATAGTACAATTTTTTTCTGCCTGAGATAGCCAGGTTGATTAGATTTTTGAGGCTGATCAAGAATAAATATGATTTATAGGGTCGGAAACGACTCCTTCATTGCGTTTTAACTTTCGACTGGAGTTATAATACTCTGAAAGGGTTTAATAATAAGAATTAATAATAAGAAATCAAAATTTATGGGTCATTTATTATTAAGATGGGCTTTTCACTTTGAGTATACGTTTGTAGATATCTTTAATACAAATTACTGTATGACTTCAAATAAAAACAATGTAATGGAGTCCAAAGCAATAAGGGAATTGATTGAAAAATTAATGCACAGCACAGCACAGCTTATTCTAGACTTAGCACAATATAGACTTAAAGATAGTATAATTGTAATGGTCAAGACTTACCGCAGTATACGACACACGATTAACCTGTTTCGTCATTCCTTAATTCCAGCCAGTGTAAAGTTATAATCCCGGTGACTCCAAGTCAAGCTTCCTCCTGGTCAAGCAGATTATGTGTATTGGCCACGTCATATTTTTCGGGTCGAAGGGAGATCACTATCACTTCCACTATAGATGTACACAGGGGGGCGGCCGCGAACTGAATGAGGCCCGCAAGGCGGCCGTGCCCGGTATTTATAGTCTCCGAGTAAAGAGAGCAGAGAAAGTGAGAGCGAGAGTGAAATGGATCGCGCTTGAGGTAGGCTGAGAGTGATAGAGAGCAAGAGGTGGCTCTAGAGGTACGCATAGGAAAGAGAAAGCGGGAGAGCCTGGCAAGAGAGAGGGAGAGAGAGGAAGCTATTCACTGCCATTGCAATATTTAACTATTATAAGAACGGAAGCTAACTTCGGCACTTCGAAGTTTGTATATATGATCATTAAAAACTAATACAATATACATAATGTATATTTACGTTTAAAAAAAAATTACTTTCACCTATACATATTAAATTAAAAATTTTGCCTTTTCCTCCACATTTAACGCTCCTTCCCATTGCAGTTATATGATATAGTCGCTCGATTCGGCCCATTCGACTTATACATATATTGTATAATGGTATAAGAAGACTAAGTAAAAAAAATGTATTTACCCTTTTAGGGCATTTTTAGATTTATTTAGCGAAGGAGTCATTTTCGACTTCATAAATCATACTTATTCTTGATCAGCATGAACAGCCAAGTCGAACTAGCCCTCCGGAGCAAAAAAAAATTTTATTAAATTTTTCAACATTTTATAAGGGGTTACATCGTTAAATTTGTAAAATTAAAAATTATTTTTTATTTTAATTGGTAATTAGGGCATTTTTGACTGAGTTATGATATTTTTAAATTTTATTTTGATGAACAAATTATTATATTTAAATATCAAATATAAAGTCTGTATAATGCACGATTTATTTAATTGCCTATGTCTACAAACATTGACTTCTCGAAGATAATTTTCCTTCTTTATTTTAAATTTAAAATATAACTAGCTATAAATTGTTTTCAAATAACCATATTAAATTAATAGATTTCGATAGGCTTGTGGTAGGTATTTTCTCTTCGTGTATTGAGTTCATAGTGTGTCCTGATGGGTCGGAATAGCTGGACGTGGTGCGTCTGCGGCTTAGGAATTATGTGCGTCATGCTCAGGCTGTTGTGCAGCTTGTGTCACCGGCAAACATGTGCACAGTGGCTGCAAAAACTAAGTTGATTGAAGTAATCATTACTTTTTTATGTTTATAATATATTTTTAACGATAAATAAAATCTATTTGAATATATAAGAATATTAACATGTTAAAAGACCATGAGTATTCATATAAATACTATTTAAAATTAGTATTTATTATTAAAAGATAATT